GGCACGACAAAAAATTCAAAAGCGATTACAATGAGGTAACGCTTGTGCTCCGCATCGTAACGTCCGCTTTGCCTATTATACGTACTTTCTCTCTCTCTCTCTCTCTCTCCCTTTCTCTGACGCCCGATCAATTTTAATCAGAACTTTTGATAACGTTGCAAACTATGTGCGCGCACACACATGTGCCACGAACGCATTAAAAAGTTTTCTTTTTCCATTTATACTTTCGGCGAAGCTCGCTACTGTCCTGTTTTAATCGAAAATTGCCACTACGATCAAATTCATCGTCCTTTGGGGCGAAAATTGGAAAATTTAAAGCCATCGACGTTAATTGAAATATTCCACGAACTCGAACGAGTCTCGAGTTTGCACCGTCGAATGCGCACGGAGCATTCGGGCAAGGATCGAAAACGATATCGCGCGCGCGCGCTAGCGACAAAAAAAGTGACTCATTGGATCAAGATCGTTTGTAATTCTCGCGCGATATGAATCTGAGAATGCGGGCAAAAGATAAATAAACAAAACGTGAGTTCGTCGATCTAGTTTTGGCCAACATTTCCGATCGCGATGATGCTTTCTCGATAATGGCGCTTATTTTGGGAAGGCAGCGCCGTGCACGTCGAGCTGCCGATTGTGTTATTTATCGTCTGCACCTGTCAAACTCTCTGCTTATCAATTGCGATCGTTAAAGTGGTCGAATCATTGCATCGGAATCGCAGCTATATACATTTTCTTGCTCTCGTCGTCGTCGTCGTTGTTGTCGCAAATTTCACAAGATCGCAAAAGTAATAGAGACAAATGCAATCGAGGTATTCATTACAAATTCCAGCTAGTTATTAGCCTGCAGCGCATAAATATGAGTTATTAGAGAGAAAAAAAATGAGCTACAAAAAAGAAGAAAAAAAACAATGATTGTACGATTATCCACGAACTAGCGATTCCCCACAATGAATAAAAACAGAGAAAAAAAAAGGAGTCCAACCTTGTACTTATTAGCAGTGACAGTTGGGATTTTACCGGGAGCGCGTCGGCGGCGGCGCGTTGTTTACCAAACGAATTAACCGGACAGAGTATATACAACGCGCACACATGTATAATATGTGCGCAGATGCTATATGATACGGGAGTCGCGCGGACATCGACGAACGGCGGGGGCAGTCGAGCAGGTATAGGCCAGCCCAGAGATCGGCGTGCTATATTTTTATAATAAATGCGCGGTGTTATCCTTAAACTTGCGCAATGGTCACGCCGCGTGTGCAACGAGGAAAAAAACGTATATAATATGCGAGATCTCTTGACCAATGTGTCGTATCGGAGTTTGCCTCGTCTTCTCGATTGGTCCATGGCCATGACAATCGTATCATCGTACGAGCGATTATAACGTTTTTACACACAGGAAGATAATTTCAAACTCGGGCGAAAAATTCGCAGCGACTTCTAACCTGTATATCCACGCGTACACGTAATACCTAAGGCGCGATCACTTGAGAAGTGCAAGGGAACGACGACCAATCCTACATAGCGAGGCAATTCGCATCGCGTGCCGTTTGACTTTCGTTAGCAGCAGCAGCAGCAACGTACACACAACACAGCATGTACAATGCTTCATAATAGGTATATATATAATGTTCGTACGTACTGCTAACTGCAGCTCGCCGCTATATACGAGAGAGGCACATGCGCGCACAAACATACATACAACATCGAGGCGTGCCACGCCCGTGAAAAGCGCATTGTAAGCGCGCCGAACTATAGGCGGCCTGGCAATCATCAGGTGGTCGTTGGCATGTGCGTATCTTTTGGATCCGCGACTCGTTACACGGGACTACAGGACTACTATATAGCTCGAGCTCGAGCCAAAATACCAAAGAGCACAGCGTCAACGAGCTTTGCATACTATATATACACGCCGAGACACTTGCTTTGCTCTCGTTGCATCCGATGATAACGTCGATTCGACGACGTGCGAACGACGACACGATCGAGCGTATCCCGCAGTGGTATTTTCTATCTGTCTTGACTTGGGTCTGTTTTGTATGCGTGTGAGTGTGCGAGTGTGTTGTTGTTTGCTTGTTTGTGTGTATACAAGTGTGCATGTCAACAATGGGGGCAAAAAGTATAACAGAAAACTTAGGCACGATGACTTACCTCGGGCGCCGCCAGATTGGACGATTTTCCCTTGGCACTCATGTCAAGTCGTCGCTGTTATCACGTCGACTCGCGGCGTCCGTCCTTCGCACTGACTGCCGATATGTATGTGTGTGTGTGTGTGTATGTCTACTATATAATATGTTATATATTTACACACACGCGCGCTCAAATAGCAGCAGCTATCCGACTCGGACCTCGAGACGGTGTGGTTCGGCGCAGTCACCTGTTGCGATGGTCCCACACAAATGTATATGTAGCGAGGAGTAAAATATAACTATCAACACAAGCGAAGCACAGCTCCGCGCCCAACAGCACGCCGATGTCCGTATAAATGCGTGTTTTTATGTATACACGAAGGAAGAGAGCACCACGACAACAATCTGTCCCGCACCGTATTATATTAATCTAAGCGCGTATCACTGATATTTTTTGCGGCCAGCAGCGATGCTGCGCCAGGTATCACACACTCGTAATTTTGTAAGAGGTCCTCGACAAAAAGCGCACCACTGACCACACCAGTTGCACTCGCGTCGCGGCGCGCCACGATTTCGTTTTATCAATAAATTTCTGTGTGTATAATATCGGAATGGAACGTTTGTTGTGCTTAATGGTAATAGCAATGTAACGGAGGCGCCTCAACTCGACTCGTACCGGACGATGACTGCGTTGGTTGAACACTCTGCGTTAGTTACGGTTTGCCGAGCGCGCGCGCGGACACGACGACGACGATGGTTTTCTTTTCTGGTGTGCTGTGCTTGTCGATACCGACCTAACCTCTTCTCGCGGTCTATGAGCATCGGCCGCGGCGATACCTATATAGCATATAGTTTACACACATACGTTGCTGCTCCTCTCGGCGGTCCTCACGTATACATGCACGCGTGCCACTGTAACATATGTATGTGTGTATACATAAAGGCGTTACAACGGCTCTGAGCTGTCCCTCTCTCTCTCTCTCTCTTTCTTTTGAGAGCGAGAGTCGCAGAGCTCGTCGTCGTGGAAAACACACACCTATACCAACGCACGCCGAACGAGTTGCGAATATGTCAGTGAATATACATTTCAAGTGTTATAGCCTGGACTGCTGAGCAAGTTTCTCTCTCTCTCTCTTTACATCTTTCTTCTTTTCTCTCTTCCTCTCTCTGCTTCTCACTATTTCTCGGCTTCTTGCCTATACTAGTACTACAAGTTTGAATTTCTTTTTTTCGACGCTTTCAATTTGCCGATTACAGAATCTCAAAAAATGAGCTCGTACTGCCGCACACGCTTGACCGCTCTAATGAGACGTATAGAACGTATCTCAGAATAATTTATAGAATGTGTGAAATTTGCGATCAAATACATTTTAAAAATAATAAATGATATAATATTCATGGGAAATCACCTCATGTGACTTTCCATCATTCTCCTCTCCTCAGCTTCACGACGTCAACCTTTGAGTTAAACTCGAACGATTTCAACAATTTTCTGATATCAATATTCGAAAATTACAATGCAAGTCTACATTCGTTTTATTTTGAATCTATCGAAATTGAATGAAATTTTAAATTCATTGAAATCAGAACAATTCACAATTTGTCAAAGTATAGAACTTTTGTTTAATTGCAATTATTAAAAGAAGATTGTTGGGTATAACTTGTCAAAGGTCTTGCTTCTATAGATCGATGACGAGATTTATATGTCAAATGCATAAGTCGTCAAAAAGCTAACAGTAGAAAAATATGATCGCTATGATGGCGAAATTTTGCTTTCACGGCTCGCTAATATTCTATTGCTGTTACAAGTTATGAGCTTAGACGCTTAAAAATACCCAGTAATAGGTATAATATTCTGAGGTGCAGGACCACTGGTATGTCACGCGCCTCAAAGTATCAGTACAAATAGTTTTTACGTGAAAATATATTTTGTTTTTGAGAACCATGATTCATAATATCTAGCTTATAAGTTTTCCCCGATGAATTTTCACCCGAAATCATAACGGTTTACGTGCATAGGCCAAAAAATCAATAATTGAATCGAACTTGATGAATTTTGTGCAGGTGCGATTCATCAAAGTTCACGATCGACGATAAGATCACTAGTACTTACGAAGCATCAATTTATAAATATGGCATGTGAGGATTTTATCGGCAGACGATGAATGATGCAAGTTTTTTCAACTGACATTTTATCAAAAGCGTTTGATTTGGCTATACCAAAACAAAAACATAAATAAATAATTAAGAAAAAATTAATCAACAGTATTCAACTAAATTATATACATTCGAATGTTTTCGGAAGTGTTTATTTTAGTCGTGTCTATTGTCATATTTCACTTTATTTACTACAGAGTTTTGAAAAAATCAAGTATTAGAACGGCTAAGTGGCTACGTGGGTGTCTTTTTGTTTTCTAGACATTGACGAACTTATTTATAAAAATATTTACTAGGAACCTTAGATAACATTTTTTAATCAGAAGAAATCAACTTAGCAGAATCTTTTATTGATAGAAAATTATTTCAACAACTTATTACATGTACAAATATCTGTAAATTACATTTTTTATTTCAATTGAGCTAACTCAAAATTAACTCGAATTTTATCATAGTAACATTTTTAAATTACACGTTCTTTACTGCTTTTTACTCAATGCATTTATTCAGTTCAAAATTGTTGACACAAACTTTATAATTTACCAATTATATTTTCAGCTGCATAAAAAAATTTTTTTTTCGGGATTTAAAAGAGCAAATGTTTGTTTTAAAAAATATATTTATTATGAGCATTTTATACAGGTATATAGGAATATTTACACATTGACTTACGTCGTAAAACTGAATAACTATGTACAATTAATATTTAAAATTAATTTATGCAATTTCATTATAATCAGGTAATTTCGTTGTCTTCTCTGTTATTACCGACGATGGTACTTTTGTCGTAGTCCCTTTTTGCTCGGCCACTATAGCTCCGTCAACTTCAAAACAAACGATAGTTTGGTTGAATTCGTTAAGAAAACGAATCTCCACTGTGGCTGAAACTTCAGGATAAAATCTTCGAATCGGCATTTTCATTTGGTAGGTGACATTTTGACCAATTTTTACGGGACAGTTGGTATTATGGAGGCTGTCGCAAACATTTTTCTTAGGCGATGGTAACTGCATCGTTATACCAAATGAAGAAGCCACTATTTGTGATCTAAGTACCCTCGAATATGTTTCTATACATATAAAATTGTCATGGTCATGATATGCTCGAATTTAATATTATTTTCAATAAAAATCTTTATTGTTTTTACTTACTCACTGGAAAATCCCACTCGGCGGTCATGGTGGTCCCTTTATGGAGAATGCAGGGTACCTCTCGACATCCGTCAATTCGCAGTTCCAATGGAGAAGTTTCGAATTCGTCACCTTTCATGCACTTATTGAAAGGAGTATAGCAAGTTGCTGAAGCCAAGAGACAGCCAAAAATGATCAAGCCTGTATCAAACAAAAAACACAGTAATCACAAATTGTAATGCATTTTTCAGTTGTCGAAATGAAAAGAACAGTTAAAAAAATTCTGACCACGAATATAATCCATGCTAACTTTTTTTAAGTAACACTTTTTTGAAATGAAAAATACAAACACCACGCTTTGCTTTCCTTCCACTTTGATCAGTGATCAAACGATACACTCGACCGTCCAATTTATACGCAGCTTTCAGTATCTAATCAAAATATTAAAACTCCCAATTTAAACCGGTTTATGCGATTTTCAATGACGATAAGATTCTTAACAAAATTGCGCAGTTTCAATCAACCGATTTCGCTTCATCACGTAAAGATTGATCGAAAACTGATTCAAATAAATAGTGTGATAAGTCCATTCGAAATAATAAGTAATCGAAGCTAAACTATTATTTTCACCGCAGTAGTATTCAGCTATATGGTTTTGTAACTTCTTCATAATTTTTTGCGTTTATGTTGTTCGAGTAATTGTGTTATATTCTTATTTTGTTAAAGTAATATTTTTATTAAAAACATTACATTATTATTACAAAAAATTCTTGTTTATCAAAAGCATATACTTAGTTTTCTGAATGACAATGAATCTTAACATAAAAATAAGTAAAATTAAATCAACTCCATGAAATTTTTGTTTATTTTCGTGTCTGGCATGATAAAATCTATTTCACAATAACAGACAATAATATTTATAAGTATAATATTTCGTGATTTCGATACCCCTGAAAAGTTACTACTAGGCGTACACGCGAGCATAAATAAAAACCATGTTAAAAGAGCCGAATTGTTGTGTCGAATAAATTATTTACAGCGTAGAATTTAAAATTAGCGCACGATAAATAAAATTGACCAATGTGAATTAATCTTTTTTCCTTTCCGTGTAAAAGATAGCTGCATCTGGGACGTACAGTTTCTCTCAAACTTTGCATTTCCTATCTTATATTACTCCAAATATAGTGAGCGAAACTCAATGAAAACACGATCTCATTCCGTAAATTCTATTGAAATTGGAATTTTGAACTTTCCAATGGTTTTATTGGATTTCCTTTGCATATATATTCCATTATTTTGAAATCTTGCTCAACGCAAACAACCATTCAGAGCTCATTGTATTCAGAGGGCAATGGTCTAGATAACTTTTTTGCAAGATTCATCTTTTTTTTATAAGCTTTGAAATACTTGATGGCTAGATTCATGAAAAATATTTTTATAAATCTATCATGATGATCTAACAGTATATGAAAATGCTTTACTTTATAACTAAAATGTGGCACAGTAAGTCAAAATAATAAAGTAGAACTATGTCACGAACAATAATCGGATTGAGATTAGCGATCAATTATAATCCAAATATTATGTCCAAAATTGATGAAATAAATTAGATATTTAATTCTGCGATTTCTAATCATTTCGCAATCTATTTACTCACCAAAACATTATACATGTCCGTAAAAGTTTAAAAAAAAAATGGTTCACTCAAAAACAGATAATGAAATTATAATTAAAATAAATATTTTTTAGTCAATGGATACTCGTGGGAGCGAATATCCGAATATTATTTATTTGTTTTCATTTGATCTTGATACTAAAGTTAACATACACTAAAGTCGTTTAAACATATATGCTATTAAAATTTACAAGTTATTACTAGATGACTAATTCTTTATGCTGTTTTAGCGGCAAGTTTGAAGCACACAGCAACTTGTCCGGCATCGTCGAGGAAAGCGAATTCAATGGATATCGACACTTGGGGATAGTATCTGGCGACGGGCATGGTCAGCTTGTAAGTTACATTGTCACCGGCAATCAATGGGCAGCTAGTGCCTATCAGAGTTTCGCAAGCGTCCTTTTGGGGGAATGGGAAGTTGACGGTCATGCCGAGGGTTGTAGCTCTTACGCGTGGAGTCAGATGTTTGGTGTCGGCATCTGAAATTTTGAAAACATTTTTGTGTTATCTAGTCACTCGTAAACCTCCTCATTACTCATGCTTTATTTATTTTTGGAAACTTATCATTAAACTTTATTCTTTAGCATTTTAGCTCATTTTAGTTTACAACTAATGACTCAATCAATATATTGCATTTTTTTAAAGAAACGTTAACAAAGAAATGAGCAATTTTATTCTTTAAAATGACTCATGAGCATTTCTCAAGCAGCAATCAAGCTTATCATTCACTATGTTCAGCAAAAAAAATTTGATTGCACTTTCATTAATAATTCATAATTTTCTTTTAACAAAATAATTAACCTTTCTTGATACTTACTGACAGTGAAGTCCCATTCAGCCGAGACATTTGTTCCTCTGCGAAGTTTGCAGGGAGCTTTATCACAACCTTCGACTCTGAGGGCGCTTGGAGGTGCACCTTCTTGGCAATTAGTGAATGGTGTTGCCGCCACTGTAGCCACAAGGAGGCAAGCAACGATGGATCCTATTAACATAAATTAATTATTATTTGACAATTGCCGGGAAATCCTAAACGCTTTTTTAAAATGAAAGTAAAAAAATTGGATCTAAAGTAATTAAGAATATGATGTCCGATGAAGTCATGGTTTGCGTGACAAATATTATTTGGAATCTCGCAGAAGTACTTATTTTATTATAATTTATAAGTTGAAACATAAAATAAAACCATAGAAATTCTACACAATACTTTTCATGACTCTCACTTTTTGTGCTTTTCCGAGAAATAAAATTTAATGCTATGACGCAAAAGAAATTTGAAAAAAGATATATTAAGTTAAATTGTTGAATTTATAAATTATTAACTCAAAAAGAAATATAAATTAAATTTCAATAATCCAACAAGTCAACAGTTTATCAGTCAATTCAAATCACACCTGTTGTAATCATCATCGAAAGACGCAAATTTGTTAGCTTATTTATTTAACGAAATGTAATGAACAACGAGCTTAAGGAGAAATCAGAACATTATTAATAGCTCGAGCGTATAGCGCGAAAAGTGCGAAAAACAAAGAGCGTAAATATATAAAGGCGATATAAAACTCACCGCAGATGAATTTCATGTTTGCTGAGAATAAGTAAGATGATACGTCCGTCCTGTGCGCTCGAAGCGTGCTGCAATAGTTAATAAGACGAGCGGTCGAGTTTTGCGCTACTTCTGATGCGTCGGGCAATTTCGCGACGATATTTAAGGCCCGCCTCGCGTGGTAGTATCTAATCGTTCCCCGGCGATTCGGCTGATAAATAATACATAATAATTCCGATGTGTTTCGCTGCGGGGTCGCGCGACTCGCGCCAGCGCACGTACCACGACGTGCAGCCCGTGTCTGTATGTACACACACAACACATAGGCACACTTGACACGAAAACACAATAAACGTATAAATTTCTCCCCCGTCAATGGCGAACGCTCAATAATACGCGCGCGGTGACGTAAGCATGTTCGGCTCGATTTATAAACTCGAGCGATGCGTATTGTATACAGACACCGCAAGCGCGGCTAATTCAGCTTGCAAAGACGCGCTGCTCGCGGATCTGCGTGTCGTTATCAATCGTCGTATAATCGCACGAGTCCAGAGCAAATGCCACGCGACACGTGTACATGGCTGCTAAGATCCTGCCTCGTGCTATATGACAGCTAAATAATTCAATTAGTCTATCATCTCGATCTCAAGCGCGGATAAGGATCGCGATTAGGGCCTCGAGTCCACGTGTAGCTCGTGTCTCATATCTTCATACCCTACCTTTACCGATGATTCGCTGCAACCGCTGCAGACGAGATGTCACTGCCTTATTTTGCATCAACAGCCGTAAAAAATGCATCTGTCATGTGTCAACTTTCGCGTATTTTGTCAGGATGTGCTTACAGCGCGTGTAAATGACATCTTGAATTGTGCAGGTGCTCACTGAGCATTGGTATCTAATTGGCAGTCATTTTTGTGAATCTTTTTTTTTTGATGAATCATTAAGTAATCATATCATAAATGGCGTGTCAATTTTAGTATTTGGAAGGAATTAGTGAAAAGCCATTAAACTTCTGAAATTGATGCAACATCTCGTGATTTGATTTTTTAGTCGGTCAAATATTAGTTTTCAAGCTGCCATAAGGAAATTGAGATTTCATCGGTAGCAATGTTACACAATTAGGCGGATCTGTGTCGATTTTATTCGCTGATAAAACGGTAAAGATATGTCAGTGACCACCTAGTTTTTATATGATTTATAGACGATATGTGATTTACAGGATGATTCACAATTACATGCCTAAGTCTTATCGAAAATTTGATAATGCGATATTATTTTGAAAAGATCGAATTCATTTTATTAATTTCCACATCAACATGTGTAATTTCATTAAAAATATTAATTATTGACACCGTCTTGACTGTCTTTATTTCTGGACGAGTTTATTTTTTTAACAAACGTTTGGTTATTTTGTGAAACAATATTCGATGAATAAATTTGCAAGGCACTTTACTTGCTATAGGCATGAAAACAAATCACATTTCTAAAGATTATTTGAAATTCCAAGCAAAAATAAAATAAATCTTAACTTTATAAAATGAGAACATAAACATTTTATAAATTGTCATTTATAAAATTTGTATACATTTTGGGCAAAAATTCCATTACAAATATTTTAAAAATAGTTATAAAAAATGTATACATTCCATAAAATAAATTATTGATATATTTTATGAAATACGTATACTTTTATCAGTATTTTACAATATTTATACCGATCCAAAAACGTATAAAAATGTAATAATCTTATTTTATAAAATGTATGTGATATATGTGATTTTTTTAATCATTTTGATTGCTTTAACGCGAACTGTCACAATTTTCCTTTTTCCGAATCAAATGGTAAAATAATATCTTTTAAAATTGTCACGAAGTGTGAATAATACTACATCTTACAGATAGAAGCCACTAAGTTACGCTGAGTCGGTAATATTTTTTTTCATAGAATTGCACATACACACAATGGTTAATTATTCAATGCGTCGCGTGATATCGACTCACGAGCAAGTGTGAAGCAAAAAAACAAACAATTTCTCTTGACTAAATATTTATATACATGTAACGATAATTGATACGATATTTTTTATGAGTAATATATATGATCTATATACAATTTGCATTGGAGCAGGCGAGGAACATTGACGGCACACATTTTAAATCTTGCGGGTGAGCAGAGCTTTGACTTGGCGAATGCTCGGATTCCAGGCAGGCATCTGCATGAATCTCTCGACGAGCTTGTCCCTCATGAAGGTGGGCAAGTATTTGAAGAGAGTGTGGTACATCTGGTAGCGCATCGGCTCGCACCTGCGAAGATAACAATAAGAATAATAAAATCGAGGTGCGCGTAGATCGGTATCGCGAGTCGCCCACGCGCCGATCGTCTCGTGGCTTTTAATCTAGCGTAATTGATCGACGCCGGCACGCGACACTTTGCAACGGTAGTGGTGGAATCGACGCCGCGGATGGCTTTATTTTCCTCCTATCGCACCACTTGTACATTGCACGCGCTTATACGCTTATTGTTTCGTCGCTCGATGTAATTTCTCGATAGGCGTTTCATAAAAATTCGCATCGATAAAGAGGCGAGATTGTTGGTAGATGGAATTTTTTTATTTAAACGAATATTGGCAATAATTAAAGAGTAACGATAAAGTAGCTAGTTAAAAAAATAATTTGGCTTACTTGTAAATGGCGTTGGGTTTTTCATCGAGGAGAGCCGAGTCGAAAACTTGATATACTTTGGGGTTCTCGAGTGGCCGGGGCTTGTTATCGGGGATTTTGCTGATGGCCGAGAGATAATCGGTGTATCTGTCGAAATAGCCACCCGTGTTGTAAAACGACTGGACCTCGGGTTTCATGGACCTGTGCATCTCGGAAAACTGCTTTATCTGCGAGCGCATCAGGCCGCTTTCCATTATGAAGGAACCTATGCGACGTCGAGGGCGAAAACGAGCCATGGTTATATAAAGTACAATAAATATAGTAATTGTAATGAATAATTTACCTGGTACAAAGGCCACGACCTTGACGCCGTACTTGCCCAGCTCGACCCTCAGCGCGTTGTTCCAGCCGAGCATGGCGCTCTTGGTGCCGCTGTAGACCGACAGGCCCGGAAGCGCCTCGAGGGCGCAGTGACTGACGACGTTGATCAGTCGCGACTTGTCCCTGCGCAGGATCGGCAGCAGCTCCTTGGTGAGCTTCATCGGGCCGAGAACGTTGACCTCGAAGTGCGTCTCCACGTGTTTCGGCAGCAGCCACTCGAACTCGCCGAACATCATCACGGCGGCATTGTTGACCAGGGCTCGTATTTCTAGCACAAAGCGGTTATACATTCATCGTTTAAAAGAAAATGAATCGAGCTTGCGATCGCAACGATCCGATGTAATCTCACGCCACGTTGTATAAATATTGTACGGAAGTGCGTTACAAAAATATTCAACCAAAATGATTACTGCCCGAATCCGTATACACACGAGGTCGCGCGTATAGTTGAAAACAGCTCTACTCACCCCAGTCGTCGCGCGAATCGCGTATCAGCGCGTCGATTTCATTGGCGAATTGCTTCACGTCGTTTTGACACGTGTAGTCGACCTTGTAGACCAGGCAGCCGAGCTCTCGCAGTCTCTCGGCGGCCGGGCCATCGGGCTCGAGGACCGTCGCTACGACTTTGAATCCCAGATCGCTGCAGTAGAGAGCCAAGCTGTAACCGAGGCCCGAATCGCAGCCCGTTATCACGACGGCTTGGATGGTTCCCTTCTTGTGATCCGGTATCACGCTGAGTCGCCGGGAGAAGCTTTTGCGCATTTGCAGATATGCTCCTGTGAAATATAATATACTCAATCGTTAGATGACACGTGTCGATATAGTCTTGATCGATCGATTGACTTTTTGGTTTGCAACACGATCGCGAGTGGGAAGTTTGAAAAATTCAAGTTCTCAAAAATCGATGGTTATAAAGGTATGAAAAATTATCTACCCATTGTTGAATTTATCCCAGGCTTCCTTCGAATGATCTTGACTACGAAACGGAATACGGAACTATACTGACAAAGTTTTATTTCAAATCGAACGAGTGAGCACTCGGAGCCACGGACAAATTTTGTTATTCAAACTGATATGACGTAACAGACGTATCGCTACATACGTACTATCGAGAAGAAATTTCGAAAATCCATTAATTAACGGTCGAGTCCTCGTAGGTCATAATATTTTGTAACACACGAGAAATCTCGGACACCGATCTGTTGTCGTTGTTGTTGTTTTTTTTTGTTATTGTTGTCGTCGTCGTTATTTTGTTGTTTCGACACAGTGGCTTGGCGCGCGACCCTTCTGGACTTTAAAAGAGAGAAATATACGAATATCCGCTCGAGACTCGTTTTTGAAGGGAGCGCAAACCGGTGTATATAGGGAAGAAGCCGGATAGCTGACGCGCAGAGAAGTGCGATTATCGCCGAGAGAGTCTCGTCTGCGCCGGCCGGGCAGGACACGCAGAATTACGCTAACTGGTCCATCGTCCATATGCACGACGCGCCGGCCGCCGCTCGTCCCGTCTCTCTCGGTTTCGCGCGACCAGAGACGCGTGTTGCTGCCTCGAGATAAGTGCGCATTTCTACGATGATACAGCACACCTCTCTTTCTTGCGATACATGATACGCATACTTGCCATAATTTAATTTTACGTTGCTGGTCACGTGGATTAAATTCGAGAATATGTCAACGTATACGTTTTTCCTTTTGCAACGTTAAATGGCAACTTATTGTTCGTACTGTTCCTACCGTAAAAAATCGTCCATCATCATTTTCACTGTAAAATAAATAATCTCCGAGACTAGATCGTGTTCCAAAATGAAAAAGTTTAACGAAATGATCAATCATCGATACAATTTTTAAGTTCGATCGTGACTCGAGTGAAATCATCCCAGCGAAATCGGTTGAATTTTTAAAAATTTTTCAACGACATTTCGGATTTTCATAATTATCGCTCGAAAGTAAATGAAAATATCATTACTTACCATAGAATATTCCTGTTAAAACTACTGTAGAAGTCACGTGGATCAGAGGATTCTGATTCATAAGCTCCACAAGGCCGAGTGCCATATTTCGTTCGTGTGTAAATTTTGAATATTTTGTATTTTTAGAACCCAAGCGCGATGATGGTCCTCTTTTATCAAAATAGCAAACAAGTTTTGACGATGTTGGGAGAGATTAAGATGCAACTACTATGCAACTCAAGTCCGTATTATGTCCTTCAATGTGGACGTGGATTGTACCAGTTTGACCCCCCTCTCATGTTAAAGCCATAAACAGCTGATTTGATATTTAAATTTATTCGCATAGGTACTTGTGAAAGTTTCGTATAAGTTAATTCTCAATGAAATAGAAAAGTTTACTTTTGAAATCATTTTTTACTTCCGTACTGGGCATTTTCATTATGAACAATAAGCTCGTTACAATATTTTTTTGTTAAAGCTATAATTAGTTGTGAGTGATTATAAGAAAATAAATTTCAATTTACAAACAAACGATATAAACGTATGATTAACAATAAGTTGCATTGTCGCGCATTGCAGTGTAATTAGATATTACAAAAGAACAGAATATTATCAATTTATTCGGCTAATGATAATTATAAATTAATGCTTATTCCGACATATATGTTTTGACTTATAAAACGAAGTTTACAATTTTTAGTTTCAAAATCATGATTTATCATAATTTCATGATTGTATTTATTAAAAATTTGCTTTGACGATGAAATACCAACCGATAATCTACGAATCCTTTCAATTGATTAAATGGGGGCCAAAATCCTTGAAAAATTTTCCAGTAGGGTCCCCCAAATTTCTGCAGGACTCCTGCAGGAATTTTGCGACTTTTTCACAAAGGAACTAAAAATTAAATTACAAAAAGTCGAGCAAAAGCGTATGTTTTTTGTCATTTTTTTATGAATCCAACTAATCAAATGGATAAATAAATAAGAAATAAGTAGCTCGTTCAATTTCATCAGTTGGTCGTTTGCAGTACGCTGGATTCAAACAAAATCCAATTTAAAAATCTTAGTTTACTAATCCTATCGTTTAGACAAAATATTTACAAATTTCCGAAAAAATCATTACAAATAAAAATTTTTATACTCCTATTTAATTTCTTCTTTATGTACGAGTTTGTAATTACTTCCATAAATTTTCATTCAATGTTTTTTATTTTGTCATTTTAATAACATTCAAATATTTATTATTGATAATTATTATTATTATTTTTATTTTCATTATACTTATACTTATTATTACTACTATCATAATTATAATAAATATTATATGATGTATTATTGCAAAAGTTTTTTTAAAACTTATCATAGACTTGCAAAATATATTCCTAACAATCTTTATACAGTTATATGAACAATAATTTTTCAAAACATGTGTATTCAGCCTTGAATCAATTATTATCTTCAACATTAATCATAGGATTATTCATGGGATCATAAGATGGATCACCATCTGTTACCAATTTACCCAACCATGAAAATAACATCATTAATATAATAAATGAAAATATAGCTACTGCTAACAGAATCGCATATCTTTTACGCAAAGATCCATTTGTATATTTTCTCAATCTGTGTACTCTATACCAACTTTTGAACATGGATATAATTGATCTTTTTTGATATTTCTTTTCATCCATATCATAAGATGAATTTTTATTGTCGTTGTGAGGTTCTAGGTAAGTTCTTCTAGATGATGAATTAGCCAAAGCAGATTCCATATCAACAACAGAGTAAGGTGGCCCTGAGTTTCGGTTGTTTGAATGCATATTGTTTGTTGTTAAGTTAGATGATAAGGTACTTCCATTTTTTCGGGATGATGAAAAATTTGCAGCATGATGCATTGATTGTGAATTTTCCAAATCGATAAGATTGTGACTGTTATTTGGTTTTTGTTCTTCATCATTACTTAACTGAAAATGATAGGATTATGAAAAAATGTTGATAAAATAAATAAATCAATTGTCTGTATTTAATTACCATTGGAAGTCCTAGTACCGTCCTAGCCCAATTAACATGAGTTAATTTTTCTCTCAAGACATCAGCTACTGGTGATACTAAGTTTGGTTGTGGTATGATTTCTGTGTAACATTCTGGACATTGAAAATTTGCATTTTCTGTAGATTCTGATAATGATCTACAGTGTGCATCAAGACAGGCCCAATGATAAACATGATAACATGTTAATCTACAGCTTTCCCTGCTACTCAAACTCTCCTCGCAAAATGTGCATATGGGATTGCAATCACAATCTTGCAGCCATTGTAAATATGATCGAATGACACACTGTAAAACATAAAGATCTTTAGGTAATAAATATTCTTTACAATAACACAAATTCGCAATTTTTTAAAAATTATTAGTTGAAGTATCTTTATTATTAATTTTAAACTGCACTGTAGTTTGACTAACATATGTAGATAGCAGACTTTTAAGAATCAACTCTGTAGCTTTATATTTATAGTTCTATCGACTTACCCTGGGATGATTTGTGACCATGCAATTTTCGCAAACATTTACGCGATGTTCGAAGCAAAATTGATTCGTGACTTTTCTTTTAGGACACTTGCACAGCCCCATTTCAGCAGATATTCGAAGTGATTATCTTAAAATAATTTGAAATAGATTATCTGCCGTCAGTTTTATATTTTAGCCACTTATTTATTATTTCATATGTATCACTATTTCCTTTGCAGCGAATGCAAAAGTGTACTTATGTTACAATGCCGCAGCCACGTAGTCACTAAGTCTTCGGAACAACAAGTATTTTTACCGATACTAATAATTATCAACTTCGAGGGTTCTAAAAGATATCTTCAATCGCTGCAGCTGTTACTTATAAGTTGCGAAAGATACTGCAGGATATTTGAAAGTGAATTTTGATTTAAATGCTTCCTTGTTTGTCAAAAATTACAGTGGGCTTCTAAAATTACGCAGAAGTTGTCTGCTAAGTGTGCCTACACCGTACAAGTTATCAAACATAGTCCATAGACGCACTTAGTTCGTAGATTCGCCAGTGCTGTTATATCTCGATATAAGCTTGTAAAAGAGGTTATAATATATTATAGAGCCGAATAGAGCTGAATAGTACTTTGCGGCATAGCGAATTCTTAAAGTTTAAGATTTAAAAGTGACAATGGCATTTGCAAGATGTATTGCAAAATTTACAAAAAATTATTTTCTTCCTGATAGCAGTAGAAGTATCTCTATTACTGCTACAAGAAATATCAAAGAAAGTTTGTTTCACTTTGTAAAAAAAAACAATCAATCAACATTTATTTCTTATTTACTAAATGTTGTTTGGCAATTTTTTTGCAGTTCGAGAGGTAAAAGAAAACAACACCACAATAATAGAAGGCATTGTGAAGCCACATCCTAAAGAACATTTGATGTTGAAAAATTGTGACAATGGAGCATGTCCACTTTGTTCTGCTGGTGTAAATGTGAAGCACACTGTAAGCATATGAATACTTCATTCAATCAGAAGCATTGAATAGAAAATTTAAAAATTAAATTCTGAAGTTCTAAAAAATCTTATAATTTTTAGGATGTTTTAATTCTAAAACAATTTGTTAGAAGTGATGGTTGCATGTTACCAAAAAGAATTACTGGCCTGTGTAATATTCAACAAAAAAGAGTTGGAATTATGGTCACAATGGCTCATAGAGCAGGTGAGATTAACATTTATTTATTATTTTTAAATTGAGAAACTCCTATGAAAAAAAAGCATTTTCAAACCTATTTTAACATTATGATTCATTTTTGATTTCAAAAATTAAAAAAAATTGTAATCTTATTATTTTTTTCTATTTAATATTAGGTTTGATGGGCACTTTAAAACCTAAAAATTGTAGAATGGATCCTAAAAAACGTCGTGATTGGAGAAAATATAATACTTACTATGATGAAACAACTATCAAACAAAGTTATTATTAGTTTGATTTTAGGTTGTTTAATATTTTTGTAAATTTTACTATAATATACTAGTTAAATAAAGAAATTAAATTTTTATGATTATAATTGTGTTAATGATAATGCATGATTAAAACATATATACTTTATTAAACATATATACTTTTTTAAAATTTCTTAAAACATAATCTTATATTAAATTTTAAAAAATTAATCAATATTTATTAAGTAGATAAATATTTATCAAAATATTATCCTATCTATTAATATCACTTGTAATTTTTAGTGAAAATGTTGCAACAATTTCAAACATTCACATTAAATTTTAACATTTGAAACAATAATATCAAAAAATGATTGGTTTTTATTGTCATTTTTATAAAATTAAAGCATCTCAACCAATAATTTTGGTTAAAAAATAAATAAAAAAAAAATAAAACTTATAAACTAATCACATATATTTATTTCATCATCTGAATCGTCAATATATATAACTTGCTCAGAAGAAGTACCCTGAATGAGAGTATTGGGAAATGCATACTGTTTTGGTAAAGAAGTTCCTGGAACTGTAAAATTGCTTGTTGTATCTATGTCTTTGCCACCCGTAAGAGATATGATAGGACAAATGATTGCATCATTAATCTCTTCTGAATTTGAATTACTGTTTGTGTGTTGATCAGATTTAATTTTATATGAAGAATAAGGCCATTTTTCCACCTCACTGCTTGTAGGACAATCACTATAAAGAATTGAATTAATATTATTACAAAATTAAAGTTATTTTTTTAAATGAACATTTACTTACAATGGTTTTTTATCATCTTCATCAAAAACATTTACATCTGCATCATTTTTTAAATTTAATTGTTCCATATCATAATCAATATTTTGAGCTGCAGTAGATGCAGGAGATGAAGTGCCCTGAATGAGAGTATTGGAAAATGCATTCTGTTTTGGTGAAGAAGTTCCTGGAATACTGCTTGTTGTATCTCTGCCCTTGCCACTCCTAACAGATTTGATAGGACAAATGATTGCATCATCAATCTCTATTGAATTGGAATTACTGTTTGTATTTTGTTCACATTCAATTTCATTTGAGGGATCAAGGAATTTTTTCACCTCACTGCTTGTAGAACAATCACTATAAAGAATTGAATTAATATTATTATAAAATTAAAGTTCTTTCTTGAAATGAAAATTTACTCACAATAATTCTTTATCATCTTCATCAAAAACATCCACAACTGCACCATTTTTTAAATTTACTTGTTCCATATAATTAGAATCACTACTTTGAGCTGCAGTAGATGCAGGAGATGAAGTACCCTGAATGAAAGTATTGGGAAATGCATTCTGTTTTGGTAAAGAAGTTTCTGGAATACTGCTTGTAGCATCTCGGTCCTTGCAACTCACAACAGATTCGATAGAACAAATAGTTGTATCACTAATCCGTATTGTATTGGAATTTCTATCTGTATTTTGTTCAAGTTCAATATCATATGAAGGATCAAGCAATTTTTTCACCTCACTGCTTGTACAACAATCACTAAAAAGAATTGGATTGATATTATTATAAAATTAAAGTTATTTTTTTTAATTAACATTTACTTACAATGGCTTTTTATCATCTTCATCAAGAATGTTTATATCGGCACCATTCTTTAAAAGTAGTTCGACCATATTATAATCATCATTATGAGCTGCTTCATGCAATGCAGTTCTTTTTCCATATCCTTGGGCATTGATATCAGCTTTGTATTCAAGAAGTAATTCAACTAATTTAAAATATTGATAATCTGCACATTCTTGCTGAAAATACATATGTGCAATTAATTTGATGAAATTTTTAAATTCAATTTCAAACAATCATAACACTGGTTAAAGTCAATTTTCAGAGACTTAGTTGTGAAACTGAGCACTTACAAGAGAAGTCCATCCATTAGCACAAGGAATATTAGGATCAGCACCACTCTCTAATAATTTTAGAACATTATCTATTCTATTCTGAAATATTTAAATGGAATAAACAAAATTATTAATACAATTTGAATGAAAGTAATAGTTTTTTCATTTCTTATCAAAGTTTTTATTACCTTCCTGCATTCTCTCATTAACAAAGTTTGGCCTCGAGGATCTTTTTTATCTATATTTTTAGGAATTCTAAATTCCTTCTTTATTTTGGTTTCTAATTTCATTCTTTTGTGTTGATCTGATGCATTTGGATTTGAATTTTTCGGACAATTTTTCCTTTTACAGCTCTCTGATTCTAAAATACTTGGACTTGAAGAACCATTAGTACAAATTCCTTTAATTGCAGAATCTGTTTTATTTCTGTAAAATTTTTTCAAAGTTAAGGGAAAAATTTTTATTAAAAAATAGAGAAATTATTTCCCATTTACTTGATTTTTTCAATAATTACTGAGCAAGCTTTAACAATTCTTTCATTCACATCATTTTTTTGTGAAAAATTGGAGCTTTTAGATTCAACTGAAGTGCAATTGCATACTTTTTGAGAATCAATGCACTGTTCACAAGAAAAATGTCCACAGGATAAAAATTGATTTTTACTAAATGCATTATTTTTACTGCAAAATAAATTATTCATTTTAATTGTAAATAGTTTTATATGAAGGTTAAAAATGTTAATAATTTGAAAAACTAAGAAGTATAAAATGAATGATATACTAATATGAAAAATGAGATAGAAAATTTTATAATAACAATCAATTGTAGTTAAAAAATTAATTTACCATGTCGAGCAAGGAAGAAACTCCAAAATGGTCATTAAAATTTTGCCCCAGCCAGTCCATTGATCAGCCATGACTTAATTTTCCGCGTCTTTCAATTTGATAATTGCTCCTAAAACGATCAACAATCACAGTTTCGTTTTGTACTTTTAAACACAAACAAAATCGATCGATTTTTGCACGTTTATTTTGCTGATATCAAAGCGAGAATAAAAACAATCTTTTTCGATCGTTTGAGATGCGGCAATAGACTGCGGCGTCTCGCTGAGACTCGAACACAAGGTTACAAATTTTACGATCGGTTTCAAATATTTGAAGTCCCATAAACTGGTAGCGGATATATTTTGTCCATTTAAACACGGATTTTGTCAGTACGAAACATGTATAAGCATACAACGTTCCGTGTTCCAGAGGACAAAATATATTCGTGGTCTGTGTATATCTGTATACATATAGTTGCATATCCCAAGTTGAGTCATCAGAATGTAGTTTGCAGTAAATTTTTGAACAATTTTTTCAACTTCTCACGTATCTTAAAAATCCCAAATTAGACAAATTTGAAATTTTCTATAAAATCGTTGATAATCTTGTATTCGAAAACCTGAGTATTCGAACCCAGTATTTGAATAAAAATTATTGATAATTTAACGTCAACCGATTGTAGCTTTTGCGCACAAAGCATGCGAACTTTATAGAGAGCAACCTAAAGCACAAACTCAAGCGCCGGTTAGGACGCTATAATGAGCTAAAAATAGAATTCTTAGATATAAAAGTTAAGCATCGGGGCAGTGTGCGTCGAAGTCACGAAGTATCGGCTCGACCATGCATATTGATAAGATAAAATTATTATTTTCGATCACATTTTATAGATTCCACTAAATAGTTTTCTAAAAAGTTACGGGAATAACTTCCTTTTTACTATTTTCCAGACAACCATTCAGTTTTTCAGAAAAATTCAAAGAAAATCTCTGAAAGCGGACCGTTTGAAAATATTCATTTTGGACTGGCTTCGATACCTCCTTAAATAAAGTTGAATAATCTTAATAGGCATCTCAACCTCATCAAATTTTCACTCGATCGTGGATTTTATGTTACAACAGGATATACTCCAAAAAGTATGCTGGGTGGCATGAACGAATGGACTGCAAAAGTCTACTGCGCGTTGACTGTTACAATAGCATTTAATAAAATTATGTGAACATTTTTTAATTTCATCCTCATTTCCTTGTAAAAATAAACACAAAATTACTGCACAAAATTACTGGTTTTTTCAGTAGAAAATTACATTAAGAATTAATCTTTTCTGATACGTACATATTATAAGTCAAGAAAAATTGCTTATATTATTTTGTATTGTATTGGTTTGAGAAAAGAGAAAGTGATCTTTATTTGTTTGAAAATTGTAAAAAACTACTAATTTTCGTCGCATGTGTGATTATCAATTTCCAAATAAAGTGGAATTTTTCAAAGCTTTAATTTTTAGTACCTAATTTTCTCGCGGCGCTAGCTCACGCCAGAATTCAGAAACATAACCAGCTATGAACACATGTCTGCAGGCGGCAACCCCACTGAAGTCTTGAGAACGCATGTGATAAATATAAATACAAATTTTTTTTTATAAATAAAAGTACCCTTCGTTTACACCATGTCTGCGGCCAAAGGAAAATCGGCCTCAAACAAATCTGGTGGCTTTCAATCAATGGGTTTGAGTCATCCTGTTCTCAAAGGTATTCTCAAACGTGGTTACAAAGTACCTACTCCCATTCAAAGAAAGGTAAATTTTGATAAAATAAATTTTGATATCAACTGCATATTTCATTCAAAAATAATCAGGACTGCATACTAATTATATATTCCTTTTTCTAGACCATACCATTAGCATTAAATAACAGAGATGTTGTTGCTATGGCTCGCACTGGAAGTGGTAAAACTGCTTGTTTTCTCATTCCAATGTTTGAAAAATTAAAAACTCGTCAACCAACTTCTGGCGCTCGTGCTCTTATTTTGTCTCCTACAAGAGAATTGGCATTACAGACTGCAAGATTCATTAAAGAAATGGGCAGATTTACAGGCTTAAAAGCATCTACAATCTTAGGAGGAGACAGTATGGAAGGTCAATTTTCTGCTCTTCATGAAAATCCAGATATTATTGTTGCTACTCCTGGTCGTTTTCTTCATTTGTGCATAGAAATGGATATGAATTTGAAAAACATTCAATTTGTTGTTTATGATGAAGCTGACAGGTATGCTAATTAAAAAATTGCCTCATTTTTATATACTAATTCAATATTTAATCCCCTGTAATTTTAGATTATTCGAAATGGGATTTGGAGAGCAACTTCATGAAATTACTAATAGATTACCTGTTCACAAACAAACTCTTTTGTTTTCTGCAACTCTACCTAAAATACTGGTCGAATTTGCAAAAGCAGGATTAGATAATCCTGTACTCATTCGTTTAGATGTTGAAAGTAAATTACCAGAGGGTTTAAAACTGAGTTTTATTACTTGCCGACCTGAAGAAAAACTAGCTGTTCTTATGTGCCTACTGAAAAGAGTAATTAAACCAGATACTCAAACAGTTGTGTTTGCTGCTACAATGCATCATGTTGAATATATTCACATGGTTGGTAATTTGTATTATAAAATGTAATTAAATTATGGTATAACTTAGATATGATTTTTAAAATACAATTAATGGTTTCTAGATTCTTGATAAAGTTGGAATATCAAATACATATATTTACTCAAATTTAGATCCAACTGCACGTAAAATAAATGCAGCTAAATTTCAAAGTGGAAAAGTGAAAGTTCTTGTTGTAACTGATGTTGCTGCTAGAGGTATCGATATACCTCACTTAGATAATGTTATAAATTTTCATTTTCCAGCCAAAAGTAAATTATTTGTTCATCGAGTTGGTAAGTACAAGTCATGAAAAATAAAATAAGCATTATACAACGATTTCCTTTCATGAAATGCTCATTTCTTCGTTAGGTCGTTGTGCTCGTGCTGGAAGAAGTGGAATTGCTTACAATATAGTTTCTCCTGATGAATATCCTGCTTTGCTAGATCTACATCTTTTCCTTGGTAGATCTTTGAATATTGTTCCAGCTACCAAAAAAGAAAACATTCCGGAAGAATCAATTGGCAGATTGCCTAAAGGAATGATTGAAGAAGAATTGTCAGATTTGATTACATGGCATGAGGATAACACCGATATTGTGAGTTGAATTATATACTTATTTAAAAAAGTTCAACATGTCTTAGCTGCTTTAATATGACATATTTTACACCTTAATTATATTTTTAGTATAATATGGAGAAAGTATGTGAAAATGCTTATCAACAATATTTACGATCGAGACCAGCAGCATCTATAGAAAGCAACAAAAGAGTAAAAGAGCTAAATTTTGAAACTGCAGGTATACTGCCAGAGTTTCAGGACGAAAACGATGCGGTTTCAGAATTTTTATTGAAGATGAAAAGTTACAGGCCTCCTGGGGTAATTAATTTATAAAATCCTACAGTTATTTAAATAATATTTTTGACTACTATTAATGTATTGAATGTTTATTATGCAGACAGTGTTTGAGATACTTTCAAAACCTGGTTCAACAGATTATAAGGCAATGAAAGAGAAAAGATCGTTTCACAAAGATAATATCTTGAATCATCATAGAAAAATTGAAGAGAGAGAAAATAAAATTGAAAATTGTAAGTAGAGTTTTAGAAAAATATTGTAAAAGTCAAATCATTGTGAATCTGCCAAAATATTCAATAAGTACTTTTGTTGCAGTAAAACCTGTTAAATCTAATTTACCAAGTAGCACAACCGATGAAATCGCGAATGCTTTTAAAGAAGTGGTACAGCCCAAGAAAAGAAAAATAGATAGTCTCTATAAAAATGAAAAAGCAAAGAAGAGGCGGAAACTCGAAAAAGACGAAGAGTTTTTCATTCCCTACGCCGCAGTTGACAAACATACAGAAGACGGGTAATTAGTGTTTTATTATATGTTTGCGCATTTTATTGATTGTCATTAATATCTTTTTTCCATTGATCCAAATTATAGATTAGCTGTGAATTCATTCGCAACGGAAGCTGACAAAGCCACTCTAGATTTTACTGCAGACAATGAAGAATCCATGCGCCTTTCAAAACAATTGAAAAAATGGGATCGTAAGAAGAAGAAAATGGTAGCCGTAGATAATCCAAAGGCCGCGAAAATCCGCACTGAGTCTGGAGTTTGGATTCCTGCCTCTTATAAAACACAAAAATACAAACAATGGAAAGACAAAAATAATGTGGAGAATTCGTATGGTGCTGAAGATGATGGTGATAATGACGAAGCAGAAGCATCCACCAATGCGAAAAATCGTTAGTAATTGATTATTAAAATTTTGAAAGTTTTTTGTTATTATAATTAATTTTTGGCCGTATGTTTTTTTTAGTACAAACTCGAGGTAATACGCACTGGGCTCGTCATAACCAAAAGTTAAAGGAAAAAGAAATGAAGAAAGTTAGAAGCGAATTAAAAACACCCGATCAAATTCGGAAAGAGCGCAAGTTGAAGAAAAAGAATAAGTTGAAAAACCAAAAGGGAGGTAGAGGTCGTGGTAAAGGAGGTTCCAAAGGCAAAGGCAAGAAAAGTAAACATTGATTCGAAAGTTTTAAGATTTGAATTATTTAGATAGGATTTTCATTGTTGTATAAAATTATTGTTACCTTGTAAAATAAACCATGTACATAATTTTATAAAGGTCTTGATTTAAATTAGTTGTATTCCTATCATAATTAAAAAAATTTTCATATCTTTGGAAAATAGGTATAAGGGCAAATAATTTTTTTCAACAAAACAAAATTATCATGTACTAGGTAAGAGAAATTGTTTCTAAAAAGTTAATGCTTTATCATTAATGAGTAAATTATGGGTAATTATGCAAAAATCCATTACTTGTAGGAATGAAATTGCATTTATACTATATACTGAAATCTTGAAGGATTTTGAAAACTGGAGTACAGCTAAATTCATAAAAACGGCTTTCAATGTTTTTCAATTTTTCAATTTTTCAAAAATTTTCTTACAAAATAAGTAACAACAATCTTAGTTTTTAATTTTAAAATTTATCAGAAATAATTTTGATGAAAACATATTACATTTTCAAAATTATTTCACCCAGACACTAATTTTTTAGTTTGATTTGTCATTCATACAATAAAAAAATAATGTTTATTCTCTAATATCTTTCTCAAAAATCACTTTGATTCCCATTGGATACTGCTTTCATTTTCTTTTTCTTCTTCACCTTCAAATTTATCCTCTTCATTTTTCTGCAAAAAAGCATTACCACAATTTTATTATCATAGAATTCTGTGAGCGATCACATTTTTTTAATTACCTTGGCATCATCATTATGTATTAAAGATGGAATAAACAAATTTTCATCATACTCAGGCCATGATTTGAACGTTTGAAATAATTCCAATAACTTTTGGGGAGGTAGTTCTTTGAATGTAGTACAAATATCGTAATCTTTTTCAACCAGTCTTTCCCCACAACCACTTATTAGTTTTCTATAGATTACAAAGAATTAGAAATGAAATGAAATAAGAGTTGATTAATAAGAAATACTCACTCAACTTCCATGACTACTCTACTTTTTTTGGATCTCATACAATGTTTTAAGAAAAACCAGAATCCTTTCCAGTCTTCTTTGCCTAGAATATCATACACATTCTTTTTAACTTCAAGTTTTACTAATACCATTGGACAATTTAGCTCATTAATTAGATTTTTCTTTTTTGTTGGTTTTTCTTTTGGCCAAGGCAAAAAAGATTTTCGTGGAAGTTCTCCAAAATACGTTGTATCAAAAGCTAAGTGTAAAACTACATTTTGCTGAGTGTAAAATCTAATTTTTTTAACATCACTATTGTCTGCAGTGATTCTCTGTAAAAAAAAATAAAAAACATTAAATTTTAGGAAGTTCAATATAGTGCTTTAATATGATGTTGATCTATTTCATATAACTTTGAAATGATATCTTACAAATAATACTCACTTCCCAAATAAAAGATGGTACTGCCAAGTAGAATGATGGTCGCCCATATTCAAACAATCTAGTCTGATGTATAAAATTAAATAATAGTGCTGACAAAAAGTATTTATTTGGAATACAGGCAATTATCTGATTAGCTGTTTTATCTTTCCATTCAAAGGTTGGAGCATCTCTGAAGTATTCTTCTGAAGAGCCTTCTTTATACATCAGATCTCTATATAAAAGAACCCAGACAGAAAAAAAATCTAATTTTCTCAAATCAATTTGTTCTTTGTATTTTTGTGTTAATGTCATCAATGGACTTTCAGACAGATAGAAGTTTTCATTTTTTTCAAAAAGATGAATTTTGGGAATGCCATACTGCAAAAGTTTATTAGTTAGTATACCCAAACCTGGAGAGCATTCAACAACAAATGATGTGTTTTCTCTTAAATCATCATAGATTAAAGAAACTATTCGTTCAGCAGCATTTTCATCAATGAGACACAAGCTAGAATGTTGAGTGAAACCTTTTTTAATTAATTTCTTGGGTAATAAGTTTAATATGTCCTTCCCAAAATTCTTTTCAACTAAATAATTACGAACTTCTGGATTAATGGATAATTTGTATTTTTTTGGTTCTTGCTTTTTGACGGGTTTTTGAACTTCTATTTCATCGTGCACAGAAAGTTTGCATGAAGTAAAAATCCATCTTGGACTAACAATATTTCGATAACAAAGCAGTCTTGAGAAGCTCTTGTTCAACATCTTGATTACTATTTTTACTATAATATCAGCACTTTAAAATTATCATAACGAAATAGTTATGTTCCTATTTTGTTCATCGATCAACGACGAAAATTATATCATTTTCATTTTTTACGAGCAGAAGTTTTGTTTAGTTACACTATCACACCACACACGTGCATTTAAAACGTAAATAGAAAAATACCCTCGTTTTCTAACCTGTCATTTATAAATGTCATAAGACCAAAATTTTAAAGGTTTGTTGTCATGATCGTATGGAGTGTTAAAAAACGTTATAATTCCTTATTCATTTCGATAAAATTTATTCAATAAAAAATAAAGTAACAATTACGCACATTAATATAAAGACAATTCATAAGTACATTTTAAATGGAAGCTTTTAAATTTTGCAAGTATGTTTATATGAATTTAAAAATATAGGCATGCCCATTTAAAACGAAAAAAATATTTTTATTTTTGCTTGCAAATTCTTCAATGTAATCATTGGCTGCCAATTCAATTTTTCTACCTTGCAAACAGCGACCTCTTTGAGAATACATGCGGCAAAACAAACAATTTCTGCTAAATAAAAATTTCAGTTGCATCGTGCATGTGACTGGAGTTCGAAAATCTGTCACTTCATATTATTTTGACATCGAATTCGGCACTCTCTTCTAGTTGACAATTAGTTGAAGTTTCTCATAACTCTAGACAAATATATACTTAATTAAATCAAGCAAATGATTTACAATTTTTTTTAAGAATTTCATGTCGCATTTATCAAATCACGATTATATTCTGACACATCGCTACTGATTATTAATCATCATTGGTTCACGAGTTGTGTCGTTGTGTGACCGATTAATCCTTCAATAAGCCACGAGCAAACAAATAACGGTAAAATCATAGTCGAATAATTTTTTTCTGGCACTGTAATATCGAATCAATTCTTTATCTATTTTAATACAATAAGATCTTTCTATTTCAAATAATTTTTTATGTATATTCAGTGTTCAATACTTAATTCTATTTTTAGATAGTAACTTTTCATTTATCATTCAATAGCAAGTTGAAAAAACTGAAGATATAAAATGGCTCAAAGTGGTGCTCTTATTACACGTTTGGTTGCATCCTCTGTGACAGCAGCAGCAACAGCTGGGAAGATTATTCGAGATGTTATGAGTAAAGGCGAATTGAACATTGTTGATAAAGGGATAAATGATTTACAAACAGAGGCAGATAGATCTGCACAAAGATGCATTGTAACATCCTTGACAAAACAATTTCCTGGTGTAACTATAATTGGAGAAGAAGAACCTTCAAGTTGTGAAGTACCCTCCAATTGGGTTGTCACTGATATGGATAATGATGTACTAAAAGTTAAATTGCCAGAGCATTTAGAAAATGTAAATGCTCAAGATCTCTGTGTATGGGTCGATCCATTAGATGGTAAATTTTAACATTTAAATAACTGCAACATTAATTTTGTAAATTGTCACACATAATATTTAAATTTTTTTTAAAATTAATATTTCAGGAACCTCTGAGTACACACAAGGTCTTGTGGAACATGTTACAGTATTAGTTGGTGTTGCCCTTGGTGATAGAGCAATCGGAGGAGTCATTCATCAACCATTTTTTAAAAATGCTGGTAGTGATTCTTGGGGTAGAACCATATGGGGAATTGAAGGCGTTGGAATAGGAGGACTTAAAACAATACCACCACCTCAAGGAAAACGAATCATTACAACTACTAGGTAAACTAAAAAATTATTGTAATAATCCAGTTGTATGTTCTCCATTTTATTTATTTTTCAGAGATTGGAGAGATTTCATTAAATCTCCTATTATCTCATTTCTTATAAGAACTATGTATGTATATATTCATTTTGAAAAAATTAGTGTAGCCAATAATTTAAAAATTTGTAATGTTTTATTAATACTCGATGTAGCAATGTAGCTACACCAGAGTCTTTTTCAATTTTTCTACTGTAAAATAACATAATTTAATTTGATTTGTAATCTAAAAAAGGCTTTTTTTCTGTGAAACATATCATGAGTTTGGATGTTAACTTTTTAAACATTTATTAATTGGAAGTATTAAATACCTTGATATGTATTTTTAGGTCGCATTGTGATAGTACAGTTCAAGGTGCTTTGGATGCTTTGGAGCCAGATGAAATTTTGAAAGTTGGAGGAGCTGGTCACAAAGTAAGTTTTTGACTTTTTTAAATTTAAATCAGTTAATTTTAATAATTTGCTCTTGTATAATTTTAGGTAATGCTTTTATTGGAAGGAAAAGCTCATGCATATGTTTTTGCAAGTAGAGGCTGCAAGCGTTGGGATACCTGTGCACCAGAAGCTATTTTGCATGCAGCTGGTGGTATTTTAACAGATATGCATGGACAAAAATACCCTTATAATTCTAAAACTCCTCACCCTAATTTAGGAGGAGTATTAGCAACTGCCCCAGGGCAAAATCATTCTTGGTATGTTTCACGCATTCCAAATGATATAAAACAAAGACTTATCTAAATTCAGTTTATTGTTCAGTTTATTGTTATTGCAGTAAAAATTGGTGTATATACTTTTATGTTTAATATAAGATAATGAATATTTATATATTTTCACCACAGTTGGAAAAGCCTCTTATAAAATGTTAATAAAAATGCCATTCAACACATTACAGACTATCAAATTAATGTAAAATGACTCACATTTCATCACTAGTTATTAGAAACCTTATAAACATTAGCATAAAAAATCATTTATAATTTAGATTTAATCAAATTTCTCAATTCTCTGCGAAGAATCTTACCAGATGGATTCTTTGGAATGCTATCTAAAAATCTAACTCCTCCTCTTAATTTTTTTTGATTAGACACTCGTTCTGAAATTCAAAAATTTTAAATAAATAAATATGTTTTCTTGTAAATAAGATTATTTTTATTTTTATTTTACTCTAATATATTCCAACCCTTTAATAAATTTGAATAATCGACTGACTTATAAACTCACCATTGACATATTTTATGATTTCATCTGCAGAGATATCTGTTTGAGGATTTTTCACAACGAATGCAAGTGGTAATTCGCCTGCTTGTTCATCAGGTAAACCAACAACTGCTGCATCTTTTATTTTTGGATTAGTCAATAAGATGGCCTCAAGTTCAGCTGGAGGAACTTGAAAGCCCTTATACTTTATTAATTCTTTTAATCTATCCACAATATAGAAAAATCCTTCCTCATCATAATATCCAATATCACCACTGTGCAACCAACCATCTTTGTCAATAGTTGCAGACGTTGATGTGTGATCTCCACAATACCCTTTCATGATCAATCCACCTTTAAAACATAATTCACCCCTGCAATTGGGACCCAGAGCTTCATTTGAAGATTCTCCAGATTCATTCACAGCCACTACTTTCGCTAAAAAATGTCAGTTTATTTGAATAAATGAAGTTCTTAAAATAAACTTTAATAAATTTTTAAAAAATTACCTGAACATCCAGCAAGCAAAACTCCTGCACTTCCTGGTTTTTTACAATTTTCAGGTAATTTCAAAACTGATAAGGTTGTTTCAGTCATTCCATAGCCTTGCCTAATTTCAGGATTATTCAATCGCTTTTTAACAGCATTTTCTACATCACTGGATAATGGAGCAGCTCCACACCAAATAAGTTTGACACTTGATAAATCATAATTATCTACCATAGGATGCTTGGCCAAGAACACCATCAGTGGTGGAACCATAGTTAAAATTTTAATTCTATACTCTTGGATAGTTTCTAAAAAAAGTTTTTCTTTGAACATAGAAAAAACTATGCTAGTACTTCCAGCAATAATTCCCATTAGAAGTACAGAAAAGCAATAGCTATGGAAAAATGGCAACAGACACATCATAACGTCATCTTTATTGGCTAAGCCAGAACCATCCAACAATGTTTGCATGAGAACTAAATAATTTCGGTCACTTAACATGACACCTTTAGCAAGTCCAGTAGTACCGCTTGAACATAAGATTGTAACAACATGTTCTTCTGGATCAACTTTTGTAACTTTAAAATCTTCAATTTCGACATCTGCCAACCCTGCAATAACTTTTTCTACGTTCAAAATATCTCTTCGTGGATGATCAAGCATTAATATTAGAGTTGGCTTCCAAGAAAGTTCCTTAGAAATTTCTAATAAAGTATCAGCCACAATTGGAGAAACAAAAATGTACTTTGGTTTGGATATATTAAGTGCATGTAGAAATTCTCTTTTTGAGTACATAGGATTCAATGGACACAATGTAGTGCCAATGAACAAACTTGTACATAATGGTACAGCCCAGCCAAGATTATTTTCTGCACAAATGGCTATTCTATCATTAACTTGAACATTTTGATTTCTAAAATATTGTGCCAGTCTACAACTTTTGTTGAGAATTTGATCATATGTCAACTTTACATTTGTTTCCTTTTGAACCTATAAATTACAGATGAATTAGAATGTTTGATTTTATTCATGGTGTATATCAAGTGAAATAAAAAATACCTGAGCAATTGCATTTTCATGGGAAATCAATTGATCATACATGAATTGACCTAAAGTCATATCTCTAGGAAACTCAAACACAAACTCTGGCCCATGAAGAATATTCTTTTCGGATTTCATATTGATTTCTGATCAGCAGGAAAAAGTCAAGAAAGTCCTAGTTAAACACCAGAATGTTTTTCTTGTAGAGCAAAAATTAATCAATGTCACTCCCGATTGTGTTGATTAAATCAATGATAATATTGCTGTATCATATGATAAACGACTGCAAGCGATGCACTTACTTCGCGTTATCTATTTGACACATTTGTCGGCGTACAGCTTTGTTTGTAGGTATATATAATTTTTTACTATTGCACTTTAAAACGTAGCGTGATGCACACCTATACGAGCGATCGATATAGATTACCGCGGCTGACAATCTAAGGATTCTTAGGAAAACTTGAGCTTATGGGTAGAAAACTTGGTAACGCTCGTCGACGTCGACAAAGATTCGGTTAAAATATGACTAGATTTTGACTAATTGCGATCCGTACAACAAGGCGGTTTCTATATTTACTTTTCTTCGTTAGAAAAAAAAACCGGTTTGTGGAAACGTGCTCTAAGCTCTAACTTATTCAACGTCGTCCGCTGACATGCCGCACAAGTATCTGTTTGTCTGCAGCGCACACAGACTCGCTGGCCGTGCGATCGAACGCGTATCGGTGTATATGCAGCAAAATTGCAACGCGCACGCCGCACTGCACATAAGCGCGCGATTACGCTCGGAATAACGCAAGCTCGACTTTTTTTTCTTACATTACGTATTCTGCTCTTAAGCAAATACATACGATTGAATAATGTTTATTTTATTTTTAACATTCTCAATTGTATGCGATTGCGCCTATTTGAGAATATTCATTCCGGTATGACCGTACGATTTAAATTTATTCAAAATGTATTACACATTCCATGCAATTCATTCAATTTTTCAATTCAGCATTTCCCATTTATATTATTTAAAAAATGAAGTAAATTCACTATATAGTTGATGTCACAAGAATGAGCTAGCTCGTATGTCCGAAGTCAAGTGCAATAAGTCAACAGTCGCAAAAATTCATTTAAAAATAGATAACAAGAGATAATCAATTTATCACTCATTTATTATATTCTTCATTTAATGTATTGATTATGCTAATCTTTTTTATCACATTTATAAGGATAAGGACAAAAGTTGAAATTGAGAGATTAAAAAGATGAAAATTTTTTTATAATTATTTATTATAACAAAACTCTTACAAACGACCGTTCAACTTAAAATTATGAAAAATCTTTTTTCTTTCATTACAATTTTTGACTTGTAAGGAAAAGTATATAGATACATTTACGGAAATATCTAAGTTTTAACAAGCGAAATAGTCATGTATAAAAAAACTAGTATAGATCACTCCAATTTTATTTGTAAAAATACACTTTGGATATTTTAATTTTATTATTTTTACAAATACCATCGACAGTGCAATTAGAGAAACTTCGTCAAATTAATATTATAAATAATCATTCACATCAACAATTGTTTTAATGAATCAATTAATATCTTATGAATCGTATAAAACTTAATTTGGCATATTAGACTCATTCAAGTAATTTTTCAAATTACTATATTGCATTCAAAACTTTCATGAAGTAAAAATAAATTTCCTATTTTATTTATAAATTTTTTGCAAACTCGGAATAGGTCATTCCCAAACAAAGATTATAACTGTAAAGACAACAGTACCAATAGAAATGACGGAAATCGAAAGTAACTAATTCAAGAACTACACAATATAAATAAAAATTTGAAGTTACTGAATTCCACAAATTCAAGTTTTACTTTATAAGTTAAAAATTTATCAACTGACAATGTCTCTCCATCAAATTAATCATACATAAATATCCAGATACGTAAGTCCCATAAAATCTCATTGGTCAAGAGAGAACTTAAATTCCATAAATCGAGTTAATTTCATTTTGGTGAGCTACAACTACATTTTGAATCCAATTTTTAGATTTCGTGAAAAACCTTAATGCGTAGATTTTAATTCTATCAAGTTTGGATTATACATCACTATCAAAGTTGCACATCAATTAGAATTACATACAAATTGAGGAGCGTACAATGTGCTCTGCCTGGCGGTTTCAAATATAAATTAATTCCTAACGCTAAATTATGAAGTTATCCCCTAACTATAATTTCATTTTTTTCTGTACATTTTTTCGTCTCTGTACAAATGGGACATACTTATCACTGTATCGCGTATTTTTATGTACATATGATTTTAGTTGGTTCAAGTTTTTACAATAATATTCATCTTAACTGTGTTTGTTTACTGATTGCTTTTTGAGCTCAAGAAATTACAGCGAAATCGTTTTCTTTTGCTGCTATTCTATCAGTTTTGGAATAAACAAATTTTTTGTGTAAATTGTACTGTTGACTAGATCAACTTTCGCCGAACATGATACTACGTTTGTTCATCCAGTAATCGAAGAATCTGTTCAGGCATGCTCCACATATGCAAATTTCGATTTTTGCTACCAGCAATAATCTGTATTTAAAATAAATATTAGTTTTATTTTTGTATGATGATCGTCATGTTAAAAGAAGATTATTGAGAGTTCTTACTTTTGTACCGATAAGTTCCATACTCAGAAGCATATTTCCAGGTCCGGGTATATTGCATACAAGATCATTCGTCTAAGAGGTAATACAAAGTTTTTGTACTCAGTGTTTTAATTATTTTAGAATCATGAAAAAATGTTCAACTTACTCTAGTGTCAAATACGTAAATATTACCATCATAACATCCAGCAAAAAGTAACTTTTTGCACAAGCACATGCAAACGATTCCGACGCTTGCATTATATTGAGCTACTTGTTCACCGCTCTAAAATTACCAGAAAAAATGTTTGACTTGTTGTTGAGTATTAATAGTAAACCATTGTTGATATACTCACAATAAAGTCGAATACTGGAATGGAGGTGTTACTTGTTCCACAGTAAACCAAACTATGATCCCTCAGGAGACTGTAGATCGTATAATTTTTGGGCCCACTGATGGTTCGTAACACAAGCCCCGTAACAGCGTCACGAATAGAGAGTTTTTGATTGCGAGAAGCGACAATAAGCACTCGTCTAGCACCTTCGTTCGTAGCCTTGAGTGCCATTACAGGTTTTTCTGAAGATTGTATCGAGTCGGGCTTCAAGTAACCGGACTGGAAATTTTCAATAAAAAATATATCTCAGTTACTTGATTGATTGAAAATAACGGAAGCATCCAACTAAAATGAGTTAATGAATTTACCTTGATATTGAAGCGTGATATGCTCCCAGATTTAGTACCAATGAATATTGTCCCCCAAGATTGATCCATGCATTGAACCGCACTTCCAACTTCGCTCACTTGCAAGTCCAAACCGTTCTATCAAAAAATTATTATCAATAACTATAAATCTCATCTATTATTTATTGATGAATAGTAAAGCTATACGTTTCAAAAATCGAGTGTTATATTACCTCAAAAATGATAAAGTTCATGATAATATAGAAGAGGTTCTTACCCTTATATTGTATGATCTTAATGTTCCATCAAGTGAACCAGAGTACAGCATTTCTTTTCTGGTTTGGCCAGAATCGAACCTCGCGATGCACAGACAGGTAACAGCTTGCGTGTGGCCCTCGTAGATACTCATTAATCTATTTGTCGCAATATCATAACGATAAATACATCCGTCATCGCTTGCTGCCAAAAATGTGTCTTCAAAAACCTAAAAAATCCGTTGAAAAATGGATTCGATGGATGTTAGAGCACATATTAATTTTAATAAACTCATCAAATAAAAATTTCAATTGAAATTAATTAACAATAAAAGTAGATAATTAATTAAATGGAACTGACTCTTTTGACTTGAAATAAAAATTATAACTACAAAGTAATCTACATCATAGAAAATAAACGTCTACAAAAACAAGTAAACTTAAAAAGGAAATAGGTTCAGGAAAATATAATGATTTAAAGCTTAATATTCTACAAAATCCTGAGGTTTTATTGAAATCTCTACGAACATGCTTGTTTATAAAAGTTTTTATCTACAAAAGTCAAAATAAACATAAAAAAAATTTTTTATAATAAAGAAAACCAAACGTTTAAGTATATAAAAGTTAATTTTTCAAGTTTTCTTTAAAAAAGTATGCACTTCGTGACTAAGAATCTACTTAATATGAAACATTATAATACATAATTATTTAGGCATTAAGTCTATCTATAGTTAATTCTAAAACTAGCTTTTAAAGATATCACATTCATTTTAAATTTGAATAAAACATTGCTGCTGTTTAGTATATTATACATTCTTGTACAAGCAATGTATCCTGTCCAGTTAAGTAATGAAATTTTTATTTGTTATGTTTTCTTATTGATTTACCAGAGCTGGTTAAATTTTTCCCCCTTTTATTACTCTTCTTTACCTTAATATTTAATATGGGTCCTTTGTGACTCGCGTACTCGATCCGATGTGGATTATTTGTTGGTGGATTATCAATTTCGTTGGTTGTTTCAATGCTGGCGTCGCTTTTTTCAGATTTATTGATAGACACTTTTTTCGGAACAGTAATTTTTTTCACAACTACCGCAGCTTCTACTAGTGGATTGTCCTTCACTGGATTTTTCTTCGGTTTAATTCTATCCTTTTTGGTTTTTTTAATTGTATCAATTGGACCATCAATTTCACGGCTGCTTTCAGATATTTTTTCAAAGTCTAAAGTTTTCTTCACGGATTTTATCACACTAACTTCTTCTGATACATCAATTCCCTCAGAAGGATTTTCTAGTAAAGATGATTTATCGGACAAATCATCAACTATTATTTCATTTTCTACGGGTTGAATTGTTTCTGTGATATCTGAATTTAGATCTGAATTTATGTTTGAACAACCTATTACATCAATTATTTCTTCATGCACTGCATCGTCACTCGCAGGATAAACGAAAATTTCCTGATGTTCTATCACATCATTGCTATCAGAATAATTTTCGACATCGATGTCAACTGTAGATATTATAGTTCTATTTGATTCACTTGGTTCATCAATAATGATTTTTATGTTATCTTCTGGATCATTAGAGTTTTCATCGACAATTAGTTCTTCGTCATCCGTTTTCGAGTCAAATATCACAAGATCAGGCTGTTCAGGTAAATGATCTAAATTCGATGTTTGTTCAGGCTGTTCATCATTTACTATATCAATTTCCAGAGGATCTTTCGGTATTATAACTTTAGATTTTTTTTTAATCTTATTAGTTATTTCTTTTTTCGTATCATCAGGTTTGGGAGCATAACTCTCGGAGAGAATCGATAAATTATTAATTTTTGATATTCCTGCTTCACGTAATATTTTGTTTCTAACATTTTTCTTCAATAAACTATATTTACAATCAATAATGCGCACTTTACAAGATTGCATTTCTTCCATATTCATTGTGATTTTCCTTTTATGACTTCTTGGTTGATTAGAAGGTATGGTTACATGCTTATTACGCAATTTTAGGGTTGTAACTTCGTCAATATTTTCATCAACATTTTTATCAGTTTTAGATCTGCTTCGTTTATTATTCGATGATTTACTTTTATTCTCAAGATTTTTGGAGGGTAATTGAATTTCAGATTTTCCTTTGCGTTTCCTGCCTTTATTTTCGATCTTTCTTTCTTCAGTAATTGCTTTAACTTGTTTTTCGATAGTATTAGGATTTACACGACTTACTATAATAATCTCATTATCTTTCACTGAATTTTTTTCTAGTTGTTTATTATTAGATTTATCTGCTGATAAATCAAGTCTACTTTCTTTTGAATCGTAGTTGTCTGAAGTGTTTTCAGGTAACGCAACGCTATCAATACTAAATGGATCAGTATTACCATCATCTGGAAGAATATTTTCTTCCGTGTCATCTTCTAGATTATCAATAACAACATAAGATGATCCATTGAAAGTAAATTCATTGACCTTCTTTTCATTATGATCCAAATAAATTATATTAGCTTTGGTTAATTTAGTTTCCTCAACTACTTTTGATTCAGTTTGAATTTCACTATTACTCTGAGGGGTCAAAGGAGCATCAGAAATATTTTCCAAATTGGCATCATTTACTCCAATCTTCGATGACTGAGTACAGTTTTCTGTATTTGTCGTAATTTCAATGACTTTGTTATTACCGTGAGAACCATTGTCTGACTTATCTATTTGGGACAGATCACACTCTAGATTTTTAACTACATCTTCGATAACTTCTTCCAAGTGTTGGAAATATTCTTCTGGTGTATTATGAACTTTGGATGATTTTTTAGCTTCCGCGACTATTAATTCATCCTGTTCACTTAAGTCAGATAGATCTGAATCATCATCAGATTTTTCGGTACTTGGCTCGGGATTAAGCAAGGATTTTAAAGTTGTTTTCTTCTTCCGTGAATCTTTTTTAATAGATTGTTCTAAAAGCGCCAGCCCTTTTCCAGGAAATTTGGACTGTTGATTTTTGGCATCAAAAGTATCAAGAGTACTATCATCTGAATAAATGAGTAATTTTTCATTTGATTTCGACAATGTACTTGCTTGGCTTTTTTCATGTGTTACTTCATTTGTGATATTTTTTACTTTAGTAGAAATATCTTCCAACTCTGTCAAAAATTAAAAAATATTTAAAAATTAACATAATGCCTCGCACAATATAAATTTATTAACAACAATTTTATTTACCGTTCTCTTCTGTACCTTTTTGTTTCGGAGTTGTTTTTGTTTCAACTGATGCTTTTTCGTTTGCTACTAATGATGTCTTTGTCTCAAAACTTGGAGTTTTTATTATCTTATTTAGACTGACGATCGGTTTTTTAACTGAAAATAAAACACAGTCGAATGAATAAAATTAATAAAAAAATATTCTCAATAATTTAAATTTATACTACATAGAACCATATTAAAGTTTTAATTTTGACAATCCAAACTCACCTAAATTTTTATCTTGATTATCAGAAGGGTTTTGAAGAGTAACATTAGAATAGGACGCTTTTTCCGGTGAATTTTTTATATTTTCAGATGATTTATTTTTTGTTTTAAAAGATTTTGCGGATAATTTATTACCTATTTCTAAAGAATAAATTTTTCCGGATGAATAATCAATTTTTTTTGTATCATGTATCAAACTTGCATGAATAACAATGCAATTACCTGGTTCCACAGTAATATCGGATTCTAGTCCAATTTTTTCACGTGCATCTTCGCCCACAGAAGTGCGCTTGGTTCGACTGGCACTACGTACTGTACTGCGACTTCTACTTCGAGATACAGATGATTTTTGTCTTGAAGTAGAAATAAGAGTGCCAGATTCGTCGTCCGATATTCTTTTTCTGCTTCTAGAATTTCTCACTGAACCTGTTAGATAAAATGATAGAATTTAGTTTTTTTTTTAAGTATGTAAAGTAATCATATCCAAGTTTTAGCATTGTCTTATCAGTACAATTAAAGGAGATACTGATGCCAAGGTAAAATTGACCATTTTTGTAAAAAGATACAATAAAATAGTTTTATTGTTTGTTTTAAAAGTGAGAGTGTTTTCTTACTTGAACCAATTTCAAGATCAAAATCTTCTTCACTTTGATCTTCTGATTTATGTGTTTTTGTTTTTTTACTAGATTGATTTTTAAGAATAGATTCTAGGCTTGAACTTGGTTTATTTTCGTGTTCTTTATGTGTAGAATCAGTGCAGTGATCTTGTAATGTGTTAGAGGATATGAATTTTGAATCAACTTTAGGAGTAGTTTTTCTCATTTCATCTTCATCAGAAGAGATCAATTTTTTTTTAATATCAGATTTTTTACTCCTCATGACAAATTTTTTAAAATTTCTTCTTCTGGGAATAACTAAAGTATTGAAGGTGTTAAAAAAAATGTAATCAAATGTAATAATAATGAAGAAAAAATATGGTACCTAGGTCATTAAATTCTGAATCAGAGGTACTCCTTGGCACTTGATTTTCATCGTCAGAAGAATCTGACATAATTTTAGTTTTTTTGCTTCCTTTTTTTCTTTTAGAGCTAATAAGCTTTGATTTGACATCAGATTCAGAATTTTCACTGTGATGAGTATCTTCATTAATTATTTTGGATTTTTTCTTGATTCTTCCTAGCTTTACAACTGGTGTTTGTGACACTATTGAAAAGTTTTTTTATGAAACATATATAAAACCATAACATTTTTTATTAGAATGAAAGCAAATCCTTACGTTTTCTATCGTTGTTTGAAGTTTCAGAATCTGACACTTTTGAATAATCTTCATCGTCAGTATCTAATAGACCTTGGGAAAATTTTCCAATAGTTTGACTTTTTGATAATTCATATTTATCATTTTTCAATTTTTCTCTTTTTGATTTGATGTCAGAATTCAACTTTTGTTTTGTGTTTTTCAATGCTTTGTTAGGTTTTACTGGAAAGAATATATTTGAATAATTATTTAAAAGATGCTATGTAAAGAATTCTAAAATATTTGAATCCAAAGTACCTTTGTTTGATGCTGATCCATCATTCTTTGAGAGTTCCTTCAAACTCTTTCCCATTTTATTTTTGGACATTTTTTTAGATTTTATTTTATATTTTGTCGCTAAATCAAGATCAGAGTCATCTGATGTATCTTTGGTTAAAGACTTTGATGAAACTTCAGATTTAGTTGATGTTATAGTGTGAAGATCTTCAGTCGCTATATTAAGTAATAAAATCCAATTATTAATTAAAAAGTTTGAATTTGAATGATAAAAGTTCTTACCTGTTTTAGTTTTCTTTTTCTTGTTGTTGGACTTTTCATCTAACGATTCATTCTCTTGTTTGTGTTTTTGAGCATCAGAACCTTTATCAAATGATTTTACTTTTTCAGCTTTACTTGGAGAAGGATCTTCCATAACAGATGTTGAAGTTGTCATAATGTCCGGCATTATGTTGGGTATAGCAAACATACCGAGCCCTTGCATTTGAGAAGAATCATTTTTACTCAAGGAAGCTAAAATATTAGCTAATTTTTTTCTTTCCGAACATAATCTAAAAATAGCTTGTTCAACATTCAAGAATCTTCCATACGCCAATTCTGTTGTATCTAGTTTGCTCAGTTTTTCATCTGATAAAAATTCAATACCCTGGTCGATTGTTAATTTGCGATGACTACTGCTGTGTTTACGTTTCGACGACGACGATGAAGACTTACTTTTGTTTATCGACTTATTTAGAATTTTGTGCAAATTTTTGTCAGACGATTTTTTTTCATCATTATTGCTTGATTTTTTAACCAGTTGATCACTCGTGCTATGCGGCGTGTTGTTTTCGTTTGTCGGACTAGCATCAATTACATTATCCCCACCACTACTTTCTTTGTATTGTAACGCAACAAGTCCTTTGTCTTGTACTGCGTTTGTATTTTGATGTACTTTAATAATTTCCGAGGTCATTTCTGTCGTATTTGAAACTGCAGGCGAATCAAGAAGCAAAAGGGATTGCTCGATTGGATCGTTCAAATCCAAGACGTGGGAATCAATTTGTGATTTGGAAGCTACCTCGGCCAATATTTTGGGCATTTCCTCAATTTTCGGATCGCCGAAAACTTCAAGGATAGGCTCGATCGTTTCTTTTTCAACGTCAGTAACACTTTTCACTGTCATAATAGATGGTTGTTGCAGTTCAACAACCAATTCGTCGGGTTGTATCGTTTCTTGAAGTTCCGGCGACGGTGGCGACTCAAAATCGATCTGACGGTCGGTCGTGTTCTCACGAACGACTGTTACTTCTTCGTGGCTGGACTGCGGTTGGGCCGGCGAATTTGAACGATTCTCGTGGAGTGGGGGAACTGTATGTTTTACTGCGGCCGATAACGCTGACTTCATTCGCGCAAATCTCAAACGAGGATCGCGAATCTCGGTTTTATTGTACTCAAGTTGCGCTTCGAGGTTACTAAAATCTCGCGCAACTTCAAGGGATGCAATTTTATTATTGTGTCTAATGTTATTATCTACTAATGATTTACCCTCTAATATTTGAATCGGATCCATGCTTTCCGTGATTATTTCTTGTTCGATGCACTCGTTCCTTACTTCCTCAGTACTAACACTATCGTCCATAATTTTTGTGTCATTGAGATCGTTTAGTAAACTTTCATCAACCACATGAATAACACGTTCACTTTCAAACTTTACACTACTTTTCACTAAATTTTCTCTTTCAAATTGCCTGGCTGCTTCAATTTTTTTTGCTTGTTCTCTGTATCTAATTTCTTCTGCCCTTTTAATTTCTTCAGCTATTCTAGCTTCTTCTGCCTTTTTTGCTAATTCCACCAGTCTAGCAACTTCAGCTTGCCTGGCAATTTCAGCAAGTCTAGCTTCCTCCGCTAATCTTGCAATTTCAGCTTGCTTAGCTTCTTCAGCTTTTCTAATTTCTTCTGCTAGTCTAGCTACTTCAGCTAGTCTGGCTTCTTCGGCTAGTCTAGCTTCTTCGGCTAGTCTAGCTTCTTCGGCTAGTCTAGCTTCTTCGGCTAGTCTAGCTTCTTCGGCTAGTCTAGCTTCTTCAGCGAGTCTAGCTATTTCGGCTAGCCTGGCTTGTTCAGCTAGTCTAGCTTCTTTAGCTTTTCTTTCTATTTCTGCTAATCTAGCTTCCTCAGCTTTTTTAGCTATTTCTGCCAATCTTGCTTCTTCAGCTATTCTAGCTATTTCTGCTAATCTTTGTGCTTCGGCTATTCTGGCTTCTTCAGCTAGTCTGGCTTCTTCAGCTAATCTCATTTCTTTTAATCTTTTTTCTTCTTCAAGTCTTTTTATCTCTGCATACTCTTCTTTAGTCATATCAACAAAATTATTCAACATATAATCTAAACTATTTTCATCGAGAATAATTCTTTTAGCTAGTTCAGATTTTCTCCATTCTCCATAGTTATCAGCATAACGATTAATTTCTTCATCTGGAACAGTGTCAGGTAAAGCATCACTTTTACCAGTACTTTTGACTTCACACCGCTTGAGTGTAATGGGCTTGATAGGAGTTGCTTCTTTACCTTTTGGAGATTTAAGTTTGAGCTCTTTTCCACCTTCAGACTTGATGTTTTTGAATTTGTTGTTAGCTGCACATACCTTGCAAAATTTCTTTTTTTTATGAGGATCATTTTTATTATCAGCTGTTTTTGGATGAGCGCATTTAGTCACTGAATCAGAAGGCATTTCACTAGTTTTTTTAGGCGTGACATTATTTTCTTTTTCTAGGACCTGATTTTGGATTTTATCAGGTATACTTGTACGTCGAAGTTTTACCGGTTTAGACAACATCGCATCTGTAGAAGGTCCTTTATCATCAATTGTTTTATTTACAATTTCATTTACACGTTTTTTAGTAGGTATATTAAGAAGATCTTGGGTAAGTGAACCAGGATTTTTTTCAATTAGCTCCATCTTTTCCTGTACCTTCTTTTGACGATCTACCATACGTTGTTTATATGTTTTTATATCTAATTTCTTTTTTTTGGACGGATCAATTGGACCTGAATCTTCAGAAACTGGAGCGGCTTCGGTGGTAACAGGCGGAACAGCAACTTTAGCAGTCACATCCGCAACACGTTTAATTGGTGCTACCGCATTTTCTTTTGACAATTCACTCTCAGTTTGCTTTGCTGGAGCGACAGTAGGAGCAACAGTGATTTTGGCGGCTTCAACTATTTTAGGTTTTTCAATCACTGTAGCTTTTATTGGAGCTGTCTTGGCAGAACCAACAGTTCCCGTAATGGTAACACCAGCAGATTTTGGCTTCACCACCGCAGGTGACTGCACTGGTGCAGTTGTTGCTTTGACTATCTGCGATTGGGCAACAGGTGCTTTAGTAACAAGCGTTTTAGCCGGCTGCGCGATGGATTTAGAAGCTGCTATCGTGACAGCCTTCCCACCCATAATACTACCAACTATAGTTTTACTCTTTTTCGAATTTTTCAGCACCGAAGGTAGCGGAACTTGAGCAGCTATAGTGGCCGGCGTTATGGGTTTCTCGGAAGCTACTTTGCGAGCTATAGTCTTGTCAGCAGTGTCGTGGTGAATCACCGTCTCTGAAAAGCGCACCTTTCGAGAACTGGAAACGTCATCATTAGCTGAAGACATTCCCATCAAATACGGCATAGCGATTCCTGTTTTACGTATTATAGGAGCCTTATTTTGTTTGAACAAGACGGTACGGCCACCGATCGCCGCAAGCGTAGCGGCAACTTCGGGTTCCTCCTCTTGTTCGGGTTCTTTTTTGATTTCACTCTCGCTGAGCAACGGCATCGTCGTTTCGCTACCCGAGTCAGATTCTGATTCGCTGTCGGATTCCTCGGATTCACTCTCGTCGATCCTCGATCGCTTCTTATGTTTCTTGCGGCCGCGTTTCTTTCGTTCTTTTTTGTCCTTCTTGAGACGTTTGAGGCGTTTTCTCGCTTTACGCTCTTTCTGCTTATTTTTCTCGCGCCATTTTCGCTCGATCTCGGCTGTAACTTCGTCTCTGATAGTCTCGTTGAGGCTCCGTTTTTTAGCGATCTTTTCGCGCTCTTTGATCACTTTGAGCAATTGAGTAACGTCCGACGAAGTCTCGTTCTCGCTTTCGCTCGACGAAGAGGTGCTCGAAGATTCGCTCGCGGTGCTCGAAGATTCTCTGACAGGCGCATCGATGTTCAAAGGCTCCTCGTTAACAAGATTGTTAAATTTGTTGAACGTGACCTCGAGTTCGCGCTCGAAGGCGGTGCGATCCATGGTATTGCCGTACTTGGCGTCCCATTCCTCTTTGGTAAGATTGCGGTAAGCATCGATGTGTTCGCGCTCTTTGCGCATCCAGCGCTCTACCTTCATTACGTCGGTCTCGAAATCGGCCGTGTTTAGACGATGAGACACTTTTTGGCCACGAGTGGCTTCCTCCGTGGCGGCCGACACGGACACGGTCGCACCCGGTGGCTTGGGTCGATTCATGCCTTCCACGTACACGTCGTCGTAGTCGTGAGGCAGCTCGTCGTCCAAATTTCTTGACGCAGCCGCTGCCACTTGGGCCTTGTTGTTCCGATCGATGCGACTAGCCAAACGTCCAGCCACGCCGCTCGTCGGTGGCTTCGATGACACCGGAGCGACTTGACGCGACATTTTCGCTATACCGGCTGAGAATATGTCGTCGATATCGGCCATATTCACGACCGGGATGTTCTTTTGCTGCTCGATATTGTGAGGATGTCGAGGGTGATCTCGGTGAAAGTAGTCCTGGGCAGCTACCGTGTACTGATTGTAATTGGCGTTCGCTTGAGTACTCGTGGACGACGAGGGTCCACGGGGCTGATGCGACTGAGCTTGAGTCGTTACTGTACCGGTGGATTTTGCCTGGGGATGTTTTTTGTGTCGCTCGGGATCTCGTATGAGCTTGACCGTGACTTTACGTTTTTCCTTCGGAGCTATAATTGGTTCTGGGCTAGGAAGCTTTATCAACTTGCGGCGTGGTTTGTCGGAAGTCGAGTGAGTCGTCAAGGCGGCTGGCAAATGGCTTTCCACATCCTCCGCAGTTTTCGTTTGCGGTGCCTGGACAATACAAAAGTAAATAATTAATGTCTTTGATTGGGAGCAATTTTTCAAAAGAGTAAGTATATGCAGCATCAGTTGCATACACGAATTCCCGTGTAACCCATAATACTAATATGTTCGTGTCTACCGATACTGAATATACATACTCTTTCTGAAATTAATATAATTTTATTAATTTATGAAAAAATGATGCATTAAACATAAGTTCATCGTTAAACATGAAGTGCTACATAAAAATTAGGCTTTTGACAATTTTGAACTTATATTTTCGATAAATTAATTCAAATCGACGCTTTCATCATAAATTTTTTATTTTAAGGCTAGTGCGACGAATCTTTTTTAGTAAAAAAGTTTCCCCTTGTCTCTTACTCCAACAGAGTCTACTGAATGTTTATAAAAACCAATCCATTTACGGATGAATTGCATTATAACTTGATACAAAATATTACTCTTTAAAATGTATAAGTGGTTTTAGGGTTACAAAAAATGTAACTCTTTCAATGATGTGTGAATGTTTTATGAATATTGCTGATAAATATATTTTTTAAATGCTTGTTTAATTGTTTCATTTCTAATCAAAATTTAAAAGAAAACAAAAATAAATTAATTTATGAATCAGAATTATTGTAAGAGTTTTACTGAAAATGAATTAAATATAAAATTCTTCCAATTGTCCTATTCTTGACATAAACAATTTTTCATAGTTTTTTTTTTTTAATTTTTCTATAATATTTTTAATTGATTTCATACATTTATTGAGACTAACCTGTATTGGAGCTTCAAATTGAAGTGGATCTAATTGAAGGACTTCATTGAGATGATGAATGAAGTCAGTAGGCAGACTTGTTATGTCAACAGTGGCATTTGGATCTAGCATGGCATTGAGTTGATTCATAAATTCTTCTCTGTCATACTCTTTAATTTTTTCATCTTCATTAATACGTTTTTCTTGATTGATTGCCATTTTTTGTTGTTTAACTAGATTGTTCATGGCAATATCAAATTTTCGTAAACTTGAATGGTTAAGCATATTGCGTATTTCGTGTTTGCTCATCTTCAAGAAACGATTAATTACACGATGTTTCCAAGAAACTTCTTGAGGTTGTTTAGTTTCTTTGCGATTTCTATTCTCATGTATTTGAATCAAATTGCTGCGATTTTTGTTTTCAATTACAAAAGGTTTAATGGTAAGTTTTTCATTTAAAGGTTTAACATTTGATGCAACCGCTCCTAGTAGAGGAGCTGCATCAGAAACAAGAATTGGAACTCCTTTAGAACCCAGAGGTGCTGGTACTGTGGCTAGTGCATTTGAAGTAGTTGCTGTTTTGGAGGTAAGGGATTGATTTTTAAGATTTCCAAATGTTTTGTGCTTTAGTGAATCTTCTGTACAATTTTTGTCTACTAATAACTGCTCAGTGATTGTGGGCTCAATGCTTATAGGTACTGTAACGTTTGTAGAAATTGTTTCTACAGTTGGTGTAATTAGTCCCACTGTTGTACTTATTTCTGATGGCAATTTAGAAGCTGTAATGCTTAATTCATTTTGCAGTTGCACAGGTGATTTTGCAGTCGTTTCTACAGATTGAACAATACATTCTAATGAATTTGATGTTGTATTAGTTGAAGAAGATACAATTGCAGTGGTAGAACCAGCACTTGTTTGAATTAAATTAGACATACTTGAACTGTATTCATTTCCAGACAATGTAGAAACAGGTGGTGAAATAGGCTTTGGTAACGTAGCTGCTAGCTTTGATGTGGCACTTTTTGGTTCACCTATAACAGTAACTTCAGCAGATTCACCTATTATAGTAACTTCAGATGAATCAGAATCATTAATGGCTTGAGAAATTGATACAGGATCACTTGACGTAGTTTTATCATCTTTTTCTATTACGTCTGATTTTTCACTCATGCTCATAAGCTGTTGAGCAAATTCCATAGCTTCCTGCATGTCTTCAAGACCATCCTCATCAAAGTTTATACCACTAACTGTTGAGGCAGGTGGGCTTGTGGCTCTTATTGTTGAGAATGTTGGTGGAAGGATTGGTTCAACACTAACTGTTGGTATAGGTGGTACTGGTAATGGAGTTGGAATAGGCAATGCTGGATAGGTCATTGTTGCAATGAATGGAGGGTAATTTTGCATTATTACGGGTGGTGGTATCATTGTTGATACCATATCAGTTGGTGTTGGATCTGTTAATGTATTGAGCGTCAATGGTTTGCGAGGATCAAATGCTGGTGGAGGTTGCAACATTGCTGAATCAATTTCTGGCTTTTCTGGTTCTTTTTTGCGCCGTTGCATACTAGATGATGGTACGTCTAAAAAGAAATATTTTTTAGCATAAAAAGACAATCAAGTATTATTGATTTTGATTGATTTTAAGGTTAATCTAATGTGGTGTACAAAATCAAATTCTTCAAAAAACTTTTTGACCATAAAAATTCTTTAATAGGTACAAAACTGTTTACATGCAATTTTTTATTAATAAAAATAAAATACTTAAATTTACCTGTCCATGTAGTTGTCAATCTAGGTGTATAACCTAAAGTTCCTGAGAACTTTTTGTTTGTTGATTGGTCAGTAATTTTTATTATTTCAATGTCACTGGTATCATTTTTACTAGAAACCTGGTCCGATATCTTTGAATTTTGCAATGATTTTGTTGACCTTCCATGGGATGAATCATTATTATCCAAATCGTCACTTACATTTAATATTTCTATAACATTGTCAAGATTAATAGGCTCCTTTAGTGGAGCTGCAGATTTATCATTCTGTTGATCAATTGTTTCTTCACCAGGGACAGAAGGATCATAAGCTTCTTTTAGTAGATCTTGTGTAGGGCGATCCAACTCTGCATTGCCAATACTATCCAAAACAAGATTTGTAGGATCATCAAGCACATTACCTGTCAAAGTAAATTCTTTGAAGTTTATTTGACCTGATAAATCAGCTTCAATACGTCGACCAATGTCTCTAAAATCATCATGAGTCAATTGTAATTCAGGAGGTTCATGGCTTAATTCTGGTATACCAGAATTGGTACTAGTATGATTTTCTTGAGAATCACTATTTTCTTTATTTACATCAGATGTAGTACTCAGATCTTTTTCCCATGAAGACTTTTCTTCTTCAGTTATGCTAGATAAAGACTTTTTTAACTTAGCTGCTGCCTCAGTTATCTTTTGTTGACGTTCTTCTTCTGAGCCCAGTAGGGGCTCTTTTTTAGAACTTTGAGTAGAACCACTGCGGCTATGACTATTGCTTCGACTGTGACTTTTGCTACGACTTCTACTTCTACTCCTGCTAGAGCTCCTGCTTCTGCTATGACTTCTGCTTCTACTTCGACTTCGGCTGTGGCTCCTGCTGCTAGAGGATCTGGGACTATTATGGCGAGATTTGTCACTGTTTGAACTATCACCTCTAGAAGGACTATGTCTGCTAGAGTATGGCCTGCCTGGGCCAGGAAAGCGCATGTTATTGCCCCTAGAATTATGGAAGCCTCTACCTCTGCCCCTGAAGTTTTGATAAGGTCTGTCATGTCTTCCTCTGTCATTTTGTCGACTTCTGTCCCTATCTCTGTTTCTGTTGTGATGATTGTCCCTTTCAAGGGGTTCAACTCTATCCCAACCAGAGCCTTCAGGCTGGAATGGTTGTTGTCTGGGATAATTGTTTTTCTGGTACGGTGAGGTACTTCTGTTGGGGTTTCTCCAGACCATGTTGCCTCCCCCGCGATTGTTGAAATGTACACTTTGTTGACCCCAACCAGAAGCAGCATCGGGCCTACGATTTGGCTGATAGAAGCGGTTGTTGCCATTGCCACCTTCGTAGTCATAGCCATTAGAGGTTGGTCGGGCACGTTGTGCAAACCCTCGACCACCTCGAAATCCGCTGCCACTCATATCCCTAGTTGACTATTGCGTGCCTTTGTCGATTTGAGGCTCTATTATGGAGCAGTTCTCGGCTCTTCCCTCATTCTTGCGATTAACAAGACTTTTTTGCGTCCCAAACAAAAATGATTCACAGCAGCCTTTACTTTGATGTATGTAAAACTATACAATATCCGAGCGAGTACGGCTTCGTCGTTGTAACATTTACTTACGCACGAAGCATTAGTGCGCGAGAAGTGTCGCTACTGAACGAACCGGCGCTGCAGCCTGCACGTTCTGCTCTTGCGCAAGTCAAATACCTATACATTCGCGATTCGCACGATGCTGTCTCGTTGAGTTCAATTGCGGACTCTCCAACATATGTGCTCGGAGGCAATCTTCACGTTTACGCACTGCGAGCGAGCAGGGTCTTGATGTTTTGTCAACCTTGCTAATAGCGACGGGTGGTAGTGTTACGGGGTATACTCGTGTAGTGTAGCGCTGCAAATAAATACAAGCATTCATTCGGGCAATAGGTTGTATAGACTACATCATAACTCCAGAATCCAACCGCTAGGGTTCATGTAAACATAAATAAGCATACAGTGATGAGCATTGAAAGATCGTGTGTACGAAAAAAGCCAACTTTCAGTGGAAGCGAGTATCAAGCACTGTCATTACTTTGTCGGAGGTGAAATATAAATTTCGGAGCATTTTTTGTTTTCATTTGCGTGAGTCGTAAGTGCAGACTATATTAGTAACTTTGTAATATTTCGCCGACCTTTTACCTCAAATGACATAGTCTTCACATAAAAATTATCAACTATCAAATACATTAATGTCAATAAATGAATGACCTTCAGAAAAGCATGATGGTTTGTTTTCAGCTCGTTTTTCAGATAAAAAATGAAAGCCAGACTTAGGTGTTTGACTCTCTTTCATCTTAGAATAATTTGGTTATGGTTAAGTAGATGATTTTTTAAAGATACTTTTTGATCTGAAAATGTCATGTTGACTGTTTATCCAAGTGAACGCTCTGCTCGGCGTGAACAGTCAGCGAAGCACGTGTATACGAGTGGCGGCGTTGCCACATTAGCTGCTATACTATGCCGTTTGTATACATGTTTGAATGACAAAAGTCAGTATCAAGATACTCGCTATGACCTACTGACTTTTTTTTTCTTTAAATTTGTACTGCAGATATAAAAATTCATGGCGTTCTTGTATGCGCATTTGTTCAAAATCTGTGGATCAATTATTTATTGAAAAAATATTTTTGATGCCATTGCGCATCCAGTTATTAACGCAACTGAATGCTACCTCGCGTGTGCCCTTTTTTATGCTAATGCACGTTACAGCGCCGATTTGACGTGGTCAAGTTACGTAAATAAAATGTCTACTTTTACTGCATAATTCTGAGTAAAAGACTCGCTTTGTGCGCAGCTGTCCACAGCAGTTCAACGGAATTGAGAGTTCGAATTGAACATTGAACGAATAAAATTGCTTTTCGTCAAAGTCGAATTTTAAGCGAACTTGCATAAGTAAGATTTCTAAATAGTAGGCATTGCTGTACATTAATGTAGGCAAAACCTTTCGCTCATTTAAGGTATCCACTTAAGTTTGTAGAAATTACCAAGCTCTACGATGAAAAGGATTTCGACAAAATACAGGCATGCTGCAAGTTTTTTATCTTCGAGATTGCATATCATCCTGCTGACTATCCACTTGATTCTCATGAGCGTCGACTTTCACAAGCATCGCTTGCTTCTTGTATTGGGTCATGCTCGCGCATGACGTTTTAAAAGTAAGATTTTTTTATTGTGCACGCATATCAAAGTATCTAGTAGCTACCAGCCGAGTCGCGCGTCTCGCATTTTGCTTGGCTCGACGATAATACGAAGGAAGGAGAGATGACAAAGAAATTCCATGAGCGCCCCAGTAACGAGATAATGGTGTATTTTTTTGTTGCGTACCGGGATAAATATTAACGTGTATGAAGGCGAATGTACATCTATGAATTGTCGATACGTGTCAGCTTGACTCTCTAAAATAGCGAGAGGTTTTTCATTAGAATTAATCCGGCAGAGTTATCACGTTTTAAAATATTATCTTTTTCGATTGATAAGTAATGATTTTTACTTTTAATCGATGCCAGTTTCTAGAGAACTAATCATTACCGAATCATTATCAATTCGTTTGTCACTACCGTGAAAAATAATATAAAATACACTGAAGGAGTATCGAAATAAGCGTGTCGGTACGCCGGTCGAGGCCGCAAAAGTGTTCACTCCGCAGTTTTTTCATTCTTCCGTCTCTGTTGCTGGCGTAAACACGAGTCAGTCGTGCAGTGTCTCCATTCAAAGACCTCCATCGAAAGGCGCGAAGCGTCGCTCAAGTTGCCCGATTCGCCGCGGAAGCAACAAGGGCGCTCACGCAGTTTCATTGGCGAATTTCAAGCCGTCGTCGTGCTGCGAGAGCTGCTCACAAGTCAGCGAGTGAGTTTGCAAGGCGAGCGACTGCTCCGTAGTATTTGTTGTCTCGCTCTCTCTCGCTTGATTTTCGGAGCTACTTCGTCGTCGTACAACAGCATAGCGTATAGCATGTAACGCGTGCGTGCTGTAAGCAGCAGAAAAAGTCAAACTATCTCTCTGCTCGTGCGTAGACAGCCACCAGTCCGCGTATCAATCGAGAGAGCCTCCGGGAGAGTCAGCCTGAGCGGCTAGTATAGTTGTGTATACCCGTGCGCGCGACTACGGAGTCGAGCCAGTGTCGCCGCGCAGTGCGCACCTTTCTATAAAACCGTGTGATATCATCGCTGTATAGTAGCTGCCAGCAGACCACTAAATTTCTACAGGTACTAGTAACTGCATACACACTTATCCCCTCTGTATTAAGGTAGTACACGTAGGGCGCAGGGATATACCTGGCCGAGGTATATACTCGCGACACACATACGTGTGTGCACACGGAAATATCGACTCTACGTATAAGGCCGCACGCAGTGTGTGCAGTAATTATCGTCGTCCGATATCTGCGACGAGTGCGAGTGCCAGTGCGAGTGTAGCAATACTTGGTATAGCATAAGCAGCAGAGCTAAAAAAGCCAAGCATCGTCATTCATCGGCCGCGTGTACAGCCGTGTGTCCGCGTCTGCTACATAATATAAAGCACGTTACGGCCAATCTTTCGTGTCAAGCCTGTGAGCCGTCGTGACTGTATTATATAGATCGAGCGAGCAGTCGTCGGCTTCGTGGACGACGACAACTGCACCGATAGGCCGTGCTGCTGCTGCTGCTTCTTGTTGTATGTATGCGGACGCTCGAGCCGAGCTGCTGCTGCACGTATATTGCTGCACATTCTCGCCTACATTTATACTTCCACCTGCGCAGAGAGAAAGTAAGTCGCACAACGGTCGCTTATATACAGTGAGATAGGCGTGGAGGCGTCGATTATTAGCGAAAAGCTTCTTCTCGTAGACGTCGACTTGGTGTGTTCCGTGCTGCCACATCGCCGCCAGCCAAATACCTATTGCAATTTCGCAGTGTTGATTCGTTTGTCGATACATATCTACGCGTGTTTGTAGCATAATAAAACAGGCAGGAAAAATATTACATTTGTGCTGGGTGTGTGTCTAAAAAAAACGACACCGGATGATAAAAGTTTGTAGTAAAAAAATTTGTTCGTCGTTCGCAGTGCCTCTCTCTGTGTCGCATCCGGCAGATATTACATATTTTATCTCGTAAACGAGTGATTGTGTGCCATCGAGAAAATATCCGCACGTCGCATACATATTATATCGAGTAAACTCGTGAACGTCGTCGTCGGTCATCTGACAGGTAGGCTCAATCCAACAGTGTTTGCCACTAGGCGCGACTCGGAGCTCCGCTGCTGCCGTGACACAGTCTATATACACGCACACTTGCACACTTGCGCACACACACGCACGCACACGTATGCACGTACGTGTATATGCATGCACACATGCGAGCAACTTTAAAAAGGGAACGAAGACACGGAGAGCCTAGAAGCGAGAAAGGTAAAAAAGTGTTACAAGTGCATCGCAGTCAGCCGTGAGCGTGAGCGTGTGTGTGTGTGTGTGTGTGTGCGTGCGTTGGTGTGCGCGCGCGTTTGCATACATACCCATGCGCACCTATACCGTTACAGCCCGTACACAGCCGTCGTCGTCTGCGTGTGTGAGTTTACGCGAGTTTGTGTGCAGTTCGGTGCAGCGGAGAAAGAGAGAGAGAGAGAGAGAGAGCGAAAGAGAAAGAGAAAGACCTGGTCTAGTAGCTAGTGCAAAAGTGGGCGGGAAAAAGATGGTCGCGCGCATTTTATAATATACCTATGTAGGTAGTACATGCCTACAGTGGGTATATATGCATCGCGTCGGTGTGTGTCTGTGTGCGTTGTATACCTTTCTCTACCTTCGGAAGCTCTAAGCTTGCATATATAGGCTACGATAGGCTACTACTTGCACACGGTACAGTACCACTCGCACGGCACACATGTATACACATACGTTATGCAGCTAATCTATCGATTTTCTCCTCGCGGCTTTCTCACGCGCTTATAAATATATACCAACCCTAGCAGTAGCGTATATATATACTCGCAACTCGGTGTATATCGCATGTACATTTTCTACAAAGTCTCTCTGTATAGACGAGCGTTTAGACACGCGTCGCACTCGCCGAGAGGAGCTTTGACAGCTGCGCCACCCCGCCTTTGGACGATATTCCGCGATAGTCGTGTCCCCCGTTTACACGTCCGCAAGCTCTCTCTCTCTCCTCTCGTTGGCGCTGTTATTATACCTAGTCTCGGAGCTGCCAAACACCATCTCGTCGCGTTTAGTCACGAATTAAGTGTCGCTGTGTAGCCTCTTTACCCCCTGACGATCGACGTGACTTCCCCCCCGTTCGAACGCGCTCGAAATCCACCTATATGTACATTCCACGAAAGGGGCTAGAAGAGAAAACTCGAGGGCAAGGCCTTTCGGTTCGCGCGCGCATACGAGTTGATATCACACACCTGCAGCTATGTACGCGTCAGCTCTGCCTATACGAGGCTTGGAAGATGCCAAATTTGATTGCGGAACGTCTCGGGCTGTGCCTATTTTTCGCGCAAAATTTGATTCGGTACTTTTTCCACTCTCGTGTACGTGGCGTGCTACCATACCTACCTGCGAGGGTGGCGCGAGCGAACGAGCGAACGAGCGGGCGCGCGCGCGCAACCCGGTACATCTCTCGAGTCTACACAGCTATATATGCCCACGTAATGCACCTGCACCTCCTGCTGCTGCTGCTGCTGCTGCTGCTGTTGCTGCTCGCGTGCCTATGTGTTGGTATACGGGGGCGTGCGCTCTACCTATCCGTATTTATATTAAATGGCATTATGGGGCGTGGGATTTATTGGCAGAGCTAGAGAGTAGGAGAGGATAACGAGTGCGAGAGATGCGAGCACGTGTCCTATCGTGTAGCTCTCTGCATTCTCTCTACGTGTGTGTAGGTATTCGAAGCAGGTACACGGCTGTCCAGGAAAACGATGCTGGTCTACAAACTCGCTAATCGATTAAGCGTATGAGAATTCGTTTCGTATATACATGTAGCTCCGTGCTCATGACACGCAATAAATGTATTCGCATTTAACAAATTTTATGTCTGCGTGTGGGTGTTGCGCGCCTCTCTTTGCAGCTATATCACTATAGGATGTATAGATATGTAAAGGCGTCGGTGTGTATAACATTTTGACGTGAGCGCCGGGCATTATCAGCCGCGAGCAGCACGAGTCAGGCAAAGCTCGCCTTTTTATCTGACAATCCTCGCGTTTCGACTCGTGTTTGTGTATACGTTAGCTTTGGCAAATAAATTAAATCGAGATTGCGCACGTAAAACGAAGATAAAGTTTTTAACCTTCGCCGAAAGAGCGACTTCCACGCTAACGTGGAAGCGATCGTAGAACGTGTTAAAACGCTATATACGTAATACACATTTAATATATCGCACAATTAATGGCTAAACATTGACCAGGTCGTATGCTTCGTCCGGTCCAACGAATCATTCTTGTAAATTAATTTCTCCGCGCATCAGTTCGTGTGTTAGACGACAGAGTTTTTTTTCTCGATTGATTAAATTTTTTATACCCCGACACACGCAGTTGCGTTCAAGGTGCACAACTTTCTATCAAGGTCAGACTCGGAAGAAAATAAAAAAAAAAAAACATGCAGCTAACACGCGGAATTTTTCGAATCGGCGCATAAAAAGTCGAGAAGGTCTATTAATAAACATTTCGGAGTTGCTTGTCGAAATTAAAATATATGCGCGAATAGGTATCGAACACGAAACGTCTTACATCATGCTTACGGCCAACTGGGATCGTTCATGCTGGTAATTGGATGTTCAAGTCTTACTCACTGCATGTCTGATGCATCGCTTCACTTCGTCATGTTACTTATCTTAGTTCATCATAGTTAAAAATAAAAATCGCACGGTAAAAACAAATAGAAAAAGTTATCAAACGATTATTATAAGATAATAATTGATTAAAATTATCAAGAGGAAATTGTTTTCTCCAAAATATGAATTTCGCTTTTTTCAGTATCCGGACGCTAATGAATCTCATAAAAACAACGTCGTTAAAATACGATAAAATTATGCTACATAAATATGCTACAAACAAATTATACGAACTCTTTTTCAACGATGTAATTTCACGAGAAAACAAAGTCTTTCACGGGCAAGATTTTTCTCCGATTTGTTACAGTTTTCCACTTTTCGTACTTCTTACACTTGCTCTCAAAAAATCTTTTTACTTTGCATTTTTTACTTGCATTTTTCATCCGAATAATGCATTGCAAGCAACTTATTAAATCAAATGAAATCGAAAAATAGTTTTAAATTGTTGAACACTTTTCCAAAACTTGATGCTACAATCAAAATATGTATTGATTTTTCAAACTTATTCTTGAAATATTTTTAATTATGAGATGCGTCTCATTAAAAAGTAGACGTCGGTATTGCACACATCTTTATTTTCAACAATTAGCAGATTTTCTTATTAAAATCAAAACCTATTTTTTCCATCTTCCTTACAAATAATTCGTCTGCTACTGAACATGCGTGTCATCTCGAATGTTATTTTGGTACAAAAGCTCCAAAATTAATCATCGCTTGTCTTTTCATGCTAGATCTCACAGTGAAACTTATCAAAAATCGTTTTACGAAAAATGTAACCAGCAGCTCTCTCCCCAACTTGATAAAACGATGAATCATCTATTTACATTATAGTATCCTAGACATGCACAAAATCCCATGGCAAAAACATCAATGAGAAAAAAAGTTAATGATACAGATTCTTGATCGATCATTCGAGCACGAGACTGGCTTCGTGTTTTTGCAAAAAATTCCTTTTTTTATGTGCTTCGTATAACAATCACTTGGGCTTGTTCTCTCCATTCTTCCACTTTATAAGCCCTCGTCTTTTTTTTACGACGCATTTCTGCGCCTAACAAAGTATGTAAAACGTGTGCACAGCCTCGCCGTTGTCCTTATCACCTCGGGAAAAATATATCCTGCAATAACGCGCGCAACACCACCAGCGACGCACTGCACCCATCGACTTGCGCCACTTTATAACGGACAGGCTAAATTGATTTATTTTTATTCCGCGTAACACATAATGTACGATGGTAACAAGATTGGACCATTTAACGTGTTGTGATAATTAAAATGAAGCTTTTTCCTTTTTAAACGCCGCCATGGAAGTTGCACGTCGTGAAATCATCACTCCGTGCACAGACGATACGGTTTATTTGATCGGCTCGGCGCGTTTATTGATTTCTTCATGAATGAATTTATTTTTGCTTTCGCACGCCCGACTCGCATACACATATGCAATGTACGTACATTCAAATTACATGTTATTACCTTAAGTGTTTAATTAGAGTATAAATTCAAAGGAACGTTTGTTTCGCTCTCAAGTTGGAAAATGTTTACTCGAGACAAGATGTTTGCACTCGTTCATCATCTTCCCTAATGTATAAAACTGAATTACGTTGACTTACTGTACGGCAGCCATAAAATTCTTTTATCATTTTCGTGCCCTGGCACTTCTATCTCGAGTGTTCCTATATATATGGCTGGTTCTCTCTTAAATTAAGTGGCAACAACAACTGTTTTTTTACCATCGTAAATATGTTTTTTGCCGCCTCAGCAATCATTTTGAATAATATGCATTAAATTCAATTATGTGAGAAAGCTTTCTTGTTCTTCTTGTGATGAAAGTTCGGATCGAATTGGATTTGATTTTGAGCATCATGTTTTTCTCTACAGCAGCAAGTTTATGCAAGCAAGTGGGGATGAAAGTTTTATTTTATTTTAGCAAAAATTATGAATTTAGAGAATTAGCAACCTTCAAATCTCGAAAAAAAAGTGTTAAAAAGGCTCAAAATTGTTTTAAAATTTGGTGATATTGCAGACATGAAGGGCAATATGTTCATAATGTCAGCCAAAAAGACATTTTTTAGGTCATTCCATTTGATAGAGTATAGGCCATATACATTTAGAAACGTAAACAACTGTGGTCTCTTGTGCACACACACACACACACACACACACACAATACACCCAGAGAAGCCAGTGAAACAATTGCAAGTAATTCAGGACCATTTACCACATTAACCTACTTAGCATATTTGATGCTTTTAATGTATGTGCAGTTATATGCTCTTGGACACAAAAATTTTGCACTCATACGTAAACGTATGTTGGGCTTTTCTTCTAGCACTTAACGATTTTTCCACACAAAGCAGTAACGTAATGTATATACACGGAGTATGCAA